ACTCTAATTGATTTTCTCTCTTACACTGAGACAACGAAGTAGTCAAGGCAACTAATAAAATGGATAGAAATACCATTTTGGTTAGTAAACTATACTGCGGCTAATTCGATGGTTAGAGATACAATTTATTTTAGTAGAAAGTTAGGTAGTCGCAGTTAGCATTTTATTAGTGAGGGAAACTTATTTCTGTTATGCCAATAACTAATAAATATTGTAACAGACATCTTCTAGTTAGTTAACCTTACTAATAAAAAAGGAAATAATACAATAATTGAAATAGTTAAAAGTCAATTAGGTATTAAATAATATTTGCATTTAGAAAAAATAGTTTTATTATAAGATAAATATATCCTTCTTTTTAAAAAGTCGGATGTTAAACCACTTAAACCTGCACTAAGAGAAATTTTTGCATTAAATGGTATTGAAATATTTAATTCGCTTCGAATGCCCTCTGTCGTGAGTTTTTAGTATGAAAACATACTGAATTCGCTCAGAAATCATACTAAAAAAGCGTTATTCGTTTAGCTCCGAACCATCATTTTTCATGATCTTTGGACTGCGCAGAAGGTTCTCGGGAAAGAGTTTAGGTGACTTGATCTCAGAGAAAAAGGCGATATGAAAGAACGAGTTCTTTTCAAAAATTGCTCAAATTGGTGAAACTGCTTTGTTTGCTTTTCTCACACAATTATTGGACGCACCGCAAGATATTGAAAGAAATAAACTTTCAATAAAAGTAAATAAATAAATAAACTCGTTACTCGGGGGTTTCCGTGTTCGCTGATTAACGAATCCCATGTTAGTTTTTTAAAATTCAAAATGACGGATCTAATATGGCCGACGATAAAGTTAATAATTAATCTATTTCGCTTAAAGCTAGTTACTCGGGAGTTTTCGCGTTCGCTGATAACAAATCTGATGTTAGTTTTTCAAAATTCAAAATGGCTGATCCAATATTTTTTTAAAAGATTTTCTGGTCACTTTTTCATACGAATTTCATGTGAAATGATAAAGAATTTTTATTTAACATTTGAAAAATTCCGTTAGGAATTGCGAATGGAATTCCGTAAGTAATATCAGCTAAAAATATTTTTGGATAAATTGTCGTCCACTTTTCGGTTCCAATTCCTCAAGTACTTCGTGCGTATTACTAGTGAATTTTTATTCAAATTTTTGCAAAAATTCCGCTTGGATTTGCAAATGGAAATCCGTACGTAATATCTGCTGAAAAATTTTTTGGAACAATTTCCGCTCTCTTTTCCTTACGAATTCTGCTAGAAATTTGTGTGCATTACCAATGAATTTAATTCAAAATTAAAAATTTGTAATAATACATACGAAGTACTAACGGAATTCATACGGAAAAGAGAGGAAAAATTGTTCTAAAAAAATTTTCAGTAGATGTTACATCCGTATTTCCATTCGCAATTCCAAAAGAAATTTTTTAATAATTTTGTATAAAAATCCGCTAGTAATAAACACGAATTGCTAGCGGAATTCGTACCGAAAAGTGAGCGGAAATTTTATAAAAAAATTAGAGGTGTGCAAAAAGCTCCAAGCTCGATCGAGTATTTTCGAGCATTTCACTATTCATGCCGAGCTCAGGCCGAGTCGAGTTTCATAAAAAGCTGGGAATTAATCACAAAACCAAAGAATTCATTTCAACTTTCGTCTCCATGGACAAATTTATAGCGGATAATTGAAAAAAGGCTTTTAAATATCATTTTCTTGGTCCAAAAAATTTAGTTTACATTAACAATTCTTGCAAATCTCAAAAGTGATTCGTCTTAAGAGATGAAATCGAGCAGAACATTCATCAAAAAGTAAAAGTACTCATTTCAACTTACGACTCCTGGGACACTTAGATTTATAGCGAAAAATTGATAAAAATGACATTTAAAAATCATTTTCTTGGTCCCAAAAATTTATTTTTTATTAAAAAATCTTAAAAATGTCAAAAGTGATTCGTCTTGAGAGATGAAATCGAGCAGGCAAATAATCAGCAAGCCAAAGAACTCATTTCAACTGTCGTCTCCAGGGACACTTAGATTTATAGTGAAAAATTGATAGAAATAACATTTAAAAATCATTTTCTTGGTCCCAAAAATTTATTTTTTATTAAAAAATCTTAAAAATGTCAAAAGTGATTCGTCTTGAGCGATGAAATCGAGCAGGCAAAAAATCAGCAAGCCAAAGAACTCATTTCAACTGTCGTCTCCAGGTACACTTAGATTTATAGTGAAAAATTGATAAAAATAACATTTAAAAATCATTTTCTTGGTCCCAAAAATTTATTTTTTATTAAAAAATCTTAAAAATGTCAAAAGTGATTCGTCTTGAGAGATGTAATCGAGCAGGCAAATAATCAATAAGCCAAAGAACTCATTTGAACTTTCGTCTCCAGGGACAATTAGATTTATAGCGAAAAATTGGTAAAAATGACATTTAAAAATCATTTTCTTGGTCCCAAAAATATATTATTTATTAAAAACTCTTGCAAATATCAAAAGTGATTTGTCTTGAGAGATGTAATCGAGCAGGCAAATAATCAGCAAGCCAAAGAACTTATTTTAAATTACGTCTCCTGGGAAACTTACATTTTAAGTGAAAAATTGAAAAAAAGACAAATAAAAATCATTTTTTTGGTCCCACAAATTTATTTTTCATTAAAAACTCTTGCAAATATCAAAAGTGATTCGTCTTGAGAGATAAAATCGAGCAGGCAAATAATCAGCAAGCCAAAGAACTCATTTGAACTTTCGTCTCCAGGGACACTTAGATTTATAGCGAAAAATTGGTAAAAATGACATTTAAAAATCATTTTCTTGGTCCCAAAAATATATTATTTATTAAAAACTCTTGCAAATATCAAAAGTGATTTGTCTTGAGAGATGTAATCGAGCAGGCAAAAAATCAGCAAGCCAAAGAACTTATTTTAAATTACGTCTCCTGGGAAACTTACATTTTAAGTGAAAAATTGAAAAAAAAGACAAATAAAAATCATTTTTTTGGTCCCACAAATTTATTTTTCATTAAAAACTCTTGCAAATATCAAAAGTGATTCGTCTTGAGAGATAAAATCGAGCAGGCAAATAATCAGCAAGCCAAAGAACTCATTTGAACTTTCGTCTCCAGGGACACTTAGATTTATAGTGAAAAATTGATAGAAATAACATTTAAAAATCATTTTCTTGGTCCCAAAAATTTATTTTTTATTAAAAAATCTTAAAAATGTCAAAAGTGATTCGTCTTGAGAGATGTAATCGAGCAGGCAAATAATCAATAAGCCAAAGAACTCATTTGAACTTTCGTCTCCAGGGACAATTAGATTTATAGCGAAAAATTGGTAAAAATGACATTTAAAAATCATTTTCTTGGTCCCAAAAATATATTATTTATTAAAAACTCTTGCAAATATCAAAAGTGATTTGTCTTGAGAGATGTAATCGAGCAGGCAAATAATCAGCAAGCCAAAGAACTTATTTTAAATTACGTCTCCTGGGAAACTTACATTTTAAGTGAAAAATTGAAAAAAAAGACAAATAAAAATCATTTTTTTGGTTCCACAAATTTATTTTTCATTAAAAACTCTTGCAAATATCAAAAGTGATTCGTCTTGAGAGATAAAATCGAGCAGGCAAATAATCAGCAAGCCAAAGAACTCATTTGAACTTTCGTCTCCAGGGACACTTAGATTTATAGCGAAAAATTGATAAAAATGACATTTAAAAATCATTTTCTTGCTCCCAAAAATGTATTTTTTATTAAAAAATCTTGCAAATGTCAAAAGTGATTCGTCTTGAGCGATGAAATCGAGCAGGCAAAAAATCAGCAAGCCAAAGAACTTATTTTAAATTACGTCTCCTGGAAAACTTACATTTTAAGTGAAAAATTGAAAAAAAAGACAAATAAAAATCATTTTTTTGGTCCCACAAATTTATTTTTCATTAAAAACTCTTGCAAATATCAAAAGTGATTCGTCTTGAGAGATAAAATCGAGCAGGCAAATAATCAGCAAGCCAAAGAACTCATTTGAACTTTCGTCTCCAGGGACACTTAGATTTATAGCGAAAAATTGATAAAAATGACATTTAAAAATCATTTTCTTGCTCCCAAAAATGTATTTTTTATTAAAAAATCTTGCAAATGTCAAAAATGATTCGTCTTGAGCGATGAAATCGAGCAGGCAAAAAATCAGCAAGCCAAAGAACTCATTTCAACTGTCGTCTCCAGGTACACTTAGATTTATAGTGAAAAATTGATAAAAATAACATTTAAAAATCATTTTCTTGGTCCCAAAAATTTATTTTTTTATTAAAAACTCTTGCAAATATCAAAAGTGATTTGTCTTGAGAAATGTAATTGAGCAGGCAAATAATCAGTAAGCCAAAGAACTCATTTGAACTTTCGTCTCCAGGGACACTTAGATTTATAGCGAAAAATTGATAAAAATAACATTTAAAAATCATTTTCTTGGTCCCAAAAATTTATTTTTTATTAAAAAATCTTAAAAATGTCAAAAGTGATTCGTCTTGAGAGATGAAATCGAGCAGGCAAATAATCAGCAAGCCAAAGAACTCATTTCAAATTACGTCTCCTGGGAAACTTACATTTTAAGTGAAAAATTGAAAAAAAGACAAATAAAAATCATTTTTTTGGTCTCAAAAATTTATTATTTATTAAAAACTCTTGCAAATCTCAAAAGTTACTCGACTTGAAAGATGATATCGAGCAAGCAAATAATTAGCAAGCTAAAGAACTCACTTCAACTAATGTCTCCTGGAACACTTACATTTATAGCGAAAAATTGAAAAAAAAACAAATAAAAATAATTTTTTTGGTCCCAAAAATTTATTTTTTATTAAAAAATCTTGCAAATGTCAAAAGTGATTCGTCTTGAAAGATGAAATCGAGCAGGCAAATAATCAGCAAGCCAAAGAACTTATTTTAAATTACGTCTCCTGGGAAACTTACATTTTAAGTGAAAAATTGAAAAAAAGACAAATAAAAATCATTTTTTTGGTCCCACAAATTTATTTTTCATTAAAAACTCTTGCAAATATCAAAAGTGATTCGTCTTGAGAGATAAAATCGAGCAGGCAAATAATCAGCAAGCCAAAGAACTTATTTGAACTAATGTCTCCTGGAACACTTACTTTTTTAGCGAAAAATTGAAAAAAAAAAAAACAAATAAAAATAATTTTTTTGGTCCCAAAAATTTATTTTTTATTAAAAAATCTTGCAAATGTCAAAAGTGACTCGTCTTGAGAGTCCTACGTCAGAGTCACTAATGGCGAATTTATTGTTCTTTTCACTTTTGCGGCATGTTAATTTAAATTCCAATTCCATTTCGATTCTTCTCTGAAATTCCGTTCTTCAATGAAGGGCTCGAACCACCGCCAGATCAACTCAATTTCAGCTACACTCTGAGTCTGGTGCAAATCACCAGTTATATAACACATTCGGTTCCGATTTGGTGCGGGGAAATGTTTCTCCCATCAATGATGGCATTCTCCTCTGTTTTAAAAAAATGCAATCAATTAGAAGAAATGCTTATGAAATTGGAAAATCTGACAGGATGAAGGTAAGATCCGATGAGAAAAATTAAAAATTTAAACACTTAAGAAAAAATTATGAAAAGCTTACTTTGCAGAAGAGACAATTCGCCATCATTTCGTTCCAATTGTTCTAGGGTACGTGCTTCGCCCAGGATTGAAAACCAAGGACAACGCATTTTTCGCATTTGACAACCTCGCGTGCCACGAATAGGTAGTGCTTCATTTTTGGAAAATTGTTGATGCAATGATGAAAATTGTCCCTACATTGTTTTCTTTATACAATTTTCCTATGATCAATTAATTCGGCAGCTTCATGAAACTTTTATACTGATGCTGAAAATTTTTTTGTTATTTAAATAAAAATAAGAAAAGAATATTTTAATAGAATAAAAACAAATTCCAGCGTTCTACAATTTATTATTAAAAAATTATTATTTACAGATTAAATTTTACTACTTTTGAGGAAAAATTTTCGAATTTTTATTAAAGAAATTTTTTTCAAAAATAGTGAAAGCTAATTTAAAAATAGCAATTTCTAATAGAGCAATTTAATTATTAATTTAATTTCATTCTAATAGTAATTTTTATTTTTTTATCAAAACAGATTTAATTTAATTTTCCGTATATCAAAAAAATTTCTCAATGAAAAAGAGAAACATTATTGATTAGTGTAAAACACGAGAAATTGATTCTTATTTTTAAAAAAAGATAAAAATATTCAATGCAGAAAAAGTTATAAAAATTTATTTAATAAAAATTTTCATTCTATTATTTTTAAAGGTTATGAATTGAAAAAAAAATTTCCTAGTTTATATTTATATTTTTTTAATAACTAATTATTTGATTTGTTTCCATATTTAAATTATTTATTGAATCAATGAATTAAAAGAAGCTTTATGTAAAATTCTTATTTTTTTTAACATAACCACTTTTTAGATTTGTTTTTTTATTACAAAACATTTTTTTTACTTACCAATATAAAAATATTTCTCACCTCACTTTAATCACTAACTTTTTTTCACCATTCATTACCATTTTTTAAAAATTTTAATGTATTTTTAACTTTAATGTAATGGTAAACATTAAACTGTTTAATGTTTACAACGATGACCAACGATGACATCAAAACACACGTCAATTTTTTAGGCATGGGATATAGAAACTCAAGTTTGACAATAAATTATCATTTTTCTGCAGCAACTTCAGGGGGAAGGCATTCGTACGTTCTACTGTATCTTCGATTAACTGAGGCATACCTTCCTTAAGAACAGTAGTCCAATTCTTTATTACAACGCTATGAATATTACCCTTCGGCTTGTCACGATTACTCGAATCTTCACCTAATATAGCGCGAACTTCATCACTTAATTGAACATCTCCTGGTTTGTCGAATTCTTCAATCGACGTCTCGCTTTTATTATCGTCTCTCGAATAAGCTGAACTATGGTCAGCATCTCTAGAATCTGTCGAGCCTCTCGGGCTACGATCAACTTCTCTTGAGTCTGTCGAGTCTCTCGGACTTCGATAAGAAAAATGGCCATGTTCGAACGCACCTCTCGGGCGGCATTTGCGAACATCAAGTGCATAATCACTATCGGACGAGTAACTTCTTCTAGATATTGAAAAATCTCTTCTTGTACGATCTCTAGGCGAACGGCTCCTGTGGCGTCCCTCATTTCTAGGTTTTTAGGGTTTCGTGGCCCATGGCCGAAAGCCTTATAGTTTCACTTTGGCGTCCGTCCGTCCGTCTGTCCGTCGTAATTTGGGGCACTATAGATCCCAAATCAGTCAGTCAGTCAGTCTTAACCACAATGGTTTATGATAACCAAAACAGGATTCGTAAATGCCTGCTTTTATTTTTTCTCTATTTGTCACAAATATATTATCTATGGTAGTGTGTTTTTACCATTTTTTTTACCATGGATTTAATCAACTTGTTAATTGGTGGAGAATCAATTTATAGAAATTAATTGTACATTAATTAAACATCCATAGTTTTTCTTTTAAAATTTTTTTTTTCTTTTTAAATGCCACGAAACCCTACTGCCGTCCAGTTTAAAAAAGGCACTATCTACATATTTTATGAAAAATGAGTTTTTTATACCGTTGGATTCGTAATGAAAAGACGAATCTAATAGTCGTATTCGTAATTGAAAATTTTAATTAGATTAGAAGATAATTAGCGGTCAATTAAACTATCTACAGAGATTTTCGAGAAATATTTTTTAAGGTGTCACTATCTGCAGAAGAAGACGACCTATCTACAAAATTTTAAGGATTTTCAACCCACTTGACCCCTGAAATCCTGATTCACGAGCACTATGTACATAGGTTAGTCAGTAAACTGGTCTCAAAAGTCACAAAAGTAGAGAACTATGTACATAGTGACGTTTTTCGTACATATTTTTCTCGAAGTTTGGTTAACTTTCCGCGAGAGAGAGCACTATCTACAAGTTTAATTATGCAAATAAAATAAAAATAATACAATAATTTGCCAATAAAGCTTTTATTTTGTATTAACACATATATTTAATGCAAATTAAAAAACAATTTTAATTATTCTTTTTTTAAAGTTAACATTTAATTTAATAAAAATTTCATGCAGAACATAATAATCAAATAAAATAAAGTTATAACTTATAATGGTAAATAAAATTTATGTATTGAGGGGCTGATAGTAAAAATGGTTTCAAATAATAACGGGAGCAAAAGTAGAATAAGTGACTTAGAAGCAAAAACAGATTAAAATGATTGTGTAATTTCTTGATAAATTAATTATAATAATTACAAAATATTAATTCAAATAAAATAAGTTTTTTTATTATTGACAATATTTTTTAAGCATTAATATAACACAGTGCAACAGCATTTTTATTTTTGGAATCGCATAGGGTGAATTTTATAGGTTTTTTGATGCTGAATGCGAATCCGTAATCAAAATTGTTCCATCACCCTAGATTTTTGAGAAATTTGACCTTGAAAATTAAAAAAAGGCCGTTTTTGGGGTACTTTTTGGTTTTTTATCAGGATATAAAAATTTTTCCTAGGGTTTTCACTATGTGCGTACGAAAGCCCATAACTTCCTTAACAATTTCCAATTTGGACCTTTTAAAAATATCTATTTTTCGATGAGTTATCTTTGTTTGAAATTCGCGTCGCATCATAAAATCAGCAAAAAATCCGTTTTTGAGGTATTTTTTGTTTTTTATCAGGGTACCAAAATTTTTTCTAGTGTTTCCATGATATACGTACGAAAGCTCATATCCTTCTCAACAATCTCCAATTTTGACATTTTAAAAATATCTATTTTTCGATGAGCTATCCTTGTTTGAAGTTCGCATCGTAACGTCAAATGGGATAACAGTGAGAAAAATATTAACATAATATTAATATTATTAATATTAACCCATTAAATCTCAAGCAGAAACCAATGATTCATTAAAGAAACTATTATATTTTTAGGAAAATCAAAAATAAATTGACCATTTTTTTTGTTTATCATTTCAAATTCTTTAACAATAATTTAACAAAAACAAAGATAACTCATCGAAAAATAGATATTTTTAAAATGTTTAAATTGGAGATTGTTGAGGAGGATGTGAGCTTTCGTACGCATATCATAAAACCCTAGAAAAATTTTTGTACCCTGATAAAAAACCAAAAAGTATCCTAAAAACGTCCTTTTTTCAATTTTCAAGGTCAAATTTCTCGAAAACCTTGGGTGATGGAACAATTCTGATTACGGATTCGCATTCAGCATCAAAAAACCTATAAAAATCACCCTATGCGATCCCAGAAATAATAAAAAAGTGAAATTCTGATGCACTGTGTAATTAATTTATCAAGAAATTACATAATCATTTTCACCCGTTTTTGCTCTCAAGTCACTTATTCTACTTTTGCTTCCATTATTATTATTATAAATCATTTTTACTATCAGTCCCTCTATTGTTCGTCATTTTTTGTTCGGTATTTTCAAAATTAAAAAATATAATATAATTATAAATAAAATAAAATATAAAATAATAATAAAAATATAACAGAAATAAAGGATTGTGTTAGAAAATAATGTAGATGGTGACGCTTTAAACAGGAAAGTGGACCGACAAAGCAATTTTAAACGTACTATCTACCACATAGTGCACTTTTCATGTATTCTCCATAATTTTTGGATAAAAAATGTGCACTATCTACAGTTTTATTAATAAATAATTAAAATTAATAATTTTTTTTGCACCAATGAAAAGAGCGTGTCCGAATTAGTCAAGAACATAAGTTTGTTTACAAAATTTTTAATTTTATTAAGAGATCCAGATGCAAACGCGTTTCCTTCAATATCTCCGATTGAGCTAAAATGTAGATAGTGTCTTTTTTAAAAAGGACGGCAGCCTAGATGTAGGCGTTTTGCGCCTGCTTCTCTTCCAATTTTTTTAGAATCTTTCCTCTCGTAATAATGACGACCACGCCGTGACATAACCTCTTCTCGAGACAAAGATCGTTTTCGATTTGTGTTTTTAATTTTACTACAAGATTTTTCTCTACTTTTATCCCTGGAGACACTATCACTATTGCCTTCCATTTTTTAGTTAAAAAACACTTGATAATTAGTAAAAAAAACACTAATTATCACACTATAAAAAATCTTTTCAGTGATCGCAGATTTCACAAAAAAAAGGAATGAAATTTGGGGACAGAGCGCCACCGGAAGAGTCGCGGCAGCGCGGTGTAACCTTTTAAATTTATTCAAAGCTTTTAAAGTGTGATCAGATTTGTCAGAAAGATGGTACTACATATTAATCTATTCGAACGAGACGACGAAATATAATTGATTTAATTCTTTAATTGCAAACATAACCTCAAATTTTTTGCTTCTAAAGGTACCTTTCATCGGAATGCGTCACAAATAATAAATATTATAATTCTTAATGAACTATTAACATATTTGTAAACTGCGTTTAATGTAAGAAAAAAATTACACTATTCACATACGATATTGAAATTATTACTTTAAAGAAAAAAAATATTTATAATTTCTTCTTAAGAGCCTTCTCCCAATTTATTTTGATATCCAATAATTTAAAACAATCTGTTTCTTCTTAATATATTTCGGTTTTTTTTTAAATTCTCATCATATGATGGAATTTTTTCTTTTTTTTACTATTAATTTCCAATGTTGAAAAAGAAAAAAAAACAATAGAACAGATAATATGCATAAATTTTACAAGTATGCATCATTTCCTCTAGTGAAACAATAATTGACCCCATTAACCCGCTTAGACATGTATATTCAAAAAGTAGAAATTCCTCTGATAAAAACGACTTTGAAAATTTTAAATATTTCATAAATCAGTCTATTTTTTATATCATTCCCAGCGGACGTGTCATGCTGTTTTGATGATACATAAAAATAATTATTGTATATAATTATAGTGTGCATAAATTTTAGTTAAAAGAAAGCATTCTTTATTTAAAAAGAAAATATTTATTCAAAATATTTTCACTTTTTAAAAAGCATTTTTTATTTAAAAAAAAAACATTTTTCGTTTTCAAAAAACAACTTTTTTTATTTAGAAAAAAATAATTTTTTTATTATCTTTAAAGAAAAGAATTTATATAGGTATACTTATAATTACTATTTAAGCAACAATAATGGAAATCGAGAAAAACGAAATAAAAAATTTATTGGACAAAGAAATTTACAATGAAAAGCAGGTTAATTCAACATTTCTCGAAGAATTATATAACTTACGAAAGAATATTGTTTGGGAATTCACATCACTTCATATTTTATGGCATATTATTTCTATTTATGGATATATGACTTATCCATTCGGGAGTCATAAATTAACAACACTTTGGTGTAAGTACATTTCAAATTTAATTTAATTAATTAATAATTAATAATTATTATTAGTTATCATCGTAAATAGTTAACAAGTAGGTACAAAAGTTAATATTCCATTATTAATTATTTATTATATTTTTTATTTGAACCACAAAAAATACAGCCAGAAGTTTAACCATTAAAGACACTAAAAATTTTTATTAAAAATACCTTTAAAAAATATGTTTTTTATATATTTTTTTATATATTTATATTATACATCTATTTTATACAAATATAAATTTTTTTAATTCAATAAAAACGAATTTTTTAAAAAAAAAAATGTAATAAATAAAAAATTTATTACATTTTTTTTATAGTTTTGTTGTATGGACTGTACACTGGATTTGGAATAACCGGTGGTATTCATCGATACTGGACACATCGGACATACAAAGCAAAAACGCCTCTTCGATTATTTTTGGCTGGTGCTTATTATGGTGCAGGCATGGTAATTATATTTACATTGATATTTAAAAAAAAAAGAAAATGAAATTAGTATTTTTTAATTTTTAAATTTAGTCTTTTAATTCTGACAGTTCAATACTGTACATGCCTACTGTAGATAAAAATAAAGACAATGATAAAAAGAAATTCTTTCTTACCGAATGCTGCTCCTTTGGAATGTCCCTAAAGTCCCCACTTGCCATTCAAATTATTTTAGGGAAACATTTTCTTTTACTGATTTTATCGATTTTAAAATGGTACTATTATTATTATATTATTAATATCATTAATATTATTATTATTATTATTACTGTTATTATTATTATTGACCAAGTTGGAGTTTACAATATTGATCAACGAAAAAAAGTTAGGTTAGGTTCAAAATGTGAGATAGAAAAAGACACAAAGAATTCTGTTCTTTTCTAACTCGTGCTCTACGTTCGAAAAGCAGTTGTATACTTTTCGACACTTAAGGTGCTATGTGCCAAAAAAAATTTTTTTTGCAGTTTCCAATACGACAATGGGTCAAGATTCACAGAATTCATCACAAATATACGGATACGGATTCCGATCCGCATAATGCAAAGCGCGGTTTCTTTTATTCACATATAGGATGGCTGATGCAGAAGAAGCATCCGGAATTTTACAAGCGGCTAAAGGAAATCGACATGACTGATATTAACGAAGATCCCATAGCAAATTTCGGTGATAAGTAAGTTCTCTAATTTTTCCTACCGACTATCATCATCATCATCAATTTTTTTGTTTATATTAAAACCCATTTTTATTTTCAGGCACTTTTATAAAATGATGCTACTGATATCTTTTCTCATACCATCATTGGTGCCAATAATTTTTTGGAATGAAAATTGGTACTGGGCATTTATGACCCAAACATTTATGCGATATGTGACAGTATTAAATTTTACCTCATTGGTTAATAGCGCTGCGCACTTGATGGGATCCAAACCGTTCAACAAGTATGGAACATCAACAATCCTTTAATTTTAACCTATTAAATTTTTTTTCATCCTTTAATTTTTGTTGTTGTTGCTGCTAACTATCATGAGACAGTTAGCAACAGCAGAGAATTAAAAAAAAAAATAACTATAATCGAAAAAAATTTTTTGTTCGACGTTACCAGAGATATAGATCCAAGTGACAATCGTCTAGTGGCAACTCTTGCGATTGGAGAAGGTTGGCATAATTTTCATCACGTTTTCCCCTGGGACTATCGCACTGGTGGAATTGGCAATCACGATATTAATGTTACAACAATATTAATTAATCAATTCGCAAAAATCGGCTGGGCTTATGATTTGAAAACTGCAAGTAAAGATCTTGTTATGGCAACGTGCAAAAAACGTGGAGACGGATCATTCACGAATCATTGGGAAGAAGTTCCAGAACCGAAGAATTAAAGCAAAAAAAAAAAAAAAATACAAATTACTTGATAAATGGACATTTTTTTATTACAATATACTATGTTCCAATTTTTAATAGACTGTTTTTCTCTAAATTGTTGTTTCGCAATAAAATTTCGTTTGTCAAAAATTCAATGAAACCTATTCCTATCCCCTCAAAAATCAACTACAGTACAATGAATGAATCATCAAAAAGCTACTGCTTTTTGATTCTAAACCAAAAGATCAAGTTTGTCAAAAGATTTACCTTCTAAATATGCTATTCTAATATGCTTTTTTAAAAAAGGAACAAGTTTCAGTTTTATAAAACATCATCATCGTCATCATCATCATCATCATTAAATTAGAAATAAAGAAAATATACAATAATTATCATTCATATCTGTCGAGTTCTTACATCGGACAATAATTTTGATATTCCTGACAACATTTTTCGCAATACAGTCTTCACCTTACAAGAGGTTAAGTATAATATTAAGTTTGTACACGTCATCAGTTGAGTTTAAAATTCACTTGCAAATTCTTCCATCGAAAGATCAAGTTTTGGTTAACAAAATACTCCTAAAGAAAATTAAAAATTATGATTAGTTTACTATCGTAAAGAACAATGGATTAAGTTCTAAGCACAATAGATTTTTGAACGTCTTTTACAAACGTAATGCATGAACTATAGAAAAGAATAGAGATACATTTGTGTCCATCATGTTCCTCGAATCTATTGTGCTCTGGACTTTAATTTTGAAAAACTCTGAACTTGATGCAAAGCATGCAAAGTAATGTATACCAACTGTCGAAAAAATTGAAATCCATTTTACCGACTTTGATATAAAGTCTAATGAAAAGAATTAAAAGTGAGACCACAGATGTTCGTAAAGAAAAAGATGTTCATAAACAATGAAGAATGACAAAAGACCAATAACCAAAAAAACAATACTCTCCTTGAACCATAATCAATGAAGTCGCAAAATGTCTTGATGCTAGGTCCACAATAGACTCTTTTTATGTTCTTATGTTAAACATGTATTGAAATCTTGTTTTTAGGTACATATAAAAAATATGAGAGAAATCTATTGTATATTTATCTTATGTTCAACATAAGGACGTACTATTTGTGGACAAAGACTTAAGAATATTGGTGAAATATTTTGACTGCAACAATACTGATTTAAACAGAACAGAAAAGAAATGTATCAAAATACATCAAAGTTTTCATATTTAAATCTGAATTTAGTTATAAATATTAAGCATATTTACTAAGAAAATGCTGCTTTCTAAATTCCCAGCATTAATCAATTACAAAAAATAATCAAATTAATCAACTTATTTAATGATTTATTCAATACTTAAGGTTAATTATACATTATGTGAGACAACGTATATACATATTGTGATTTATCATTCTTGCTTTATACATTTTCGTTAATTATTCTCTACAATTGAATCCTCTAGAAAAACGAAAATTGCATCAAAATCAAACAAAGCACGACAATGAAAATGTAGTGTTATAATAATTATAATAATTATACCTTACTTAGTTTGGTGTTTCATATACGATGTGAGAGTCTTGACCTCGTTTTTCCTTCACTGTCTTAATCAGATCTTCCCTTGGTTGTTTCAAATCATAAGCCCAACCGATTTTCGCAAACATATCAATTAAAAAAGTCGTCCAATTCAAACTGTAGTTTCCTAATTCAGCGCATTTGTAATCGTACGGAAAGACATGATGATAGTTGTGCCAACCTTCTCCCATGGTCATATGAGCGACAAGTTTGTTTTCGACTGGAGCTATTGTTCTGCAAATATCGTAACAAATGTCGTAACAAATATCATAACCAATATTCATAACAATTAGAATTTACTTCACCGGGAAGATTTTATTCGAAAGACTTTCTAGAAACTAGATGTTGTATTAAGGAAGAGGTCACAAGAAGCTGCATAAAATACAATTGCGAGGGGAATTTTTGTAAGAAGCTAAAGTTTGGCTTGTAAGGATGATGATGATGATGAAATGGAAAATAATTAGAACACATCTTACTTGTCATAAGGTTTAGCACCCCACATATGAGCCAAGCTATTAACACTCCAAGTGGAATTCAGAGTTACTATGTAACGTACAATTGTCGTCGCTATTGAATAATACCATTCCTCATTCCAAAGGTAAACAGGTATGACTATTGGTATTACGAATGTAAAGAGAACTTTGAAATACTCGAAATACCTGTACGGAAAATCAAACGGAATCATAAGAGTCTCGGCTTTCTGCTAGATATTAGGCTTCTAATATCATATTTGTAGGAAAGCTCTGACAATAGAAGATGATAGTAGAAGCTCTGATATAGTTTATTCGTATACTTTTCACCAAATGCAACAATTGGATCCTGGAGAATGTCACTCATATCAATTTGCTTTCCTCGTCTTATAACTTCCGGATGTCTTCTCATCATAAGCCAACCGACGTGCGAAAAGAAAAAACCCCGATTACTATTATGTGGATCTGCATCAGTTTCTGTGTACTTATGATGAAGACGATGATATCTCACCCAATTGTATAATGAATTCTATAATCGAAAGAAGCATTCAATACAATAAAAAGCAGAGAATATTTTGATTTCCAAAGGTGGACACTTTCTTACTTGTCCTGATGTATAGAAGCAAACTAGAAGAATTAACCGAAGTGGCCATTTTGCTTTATAGGCGCGATGAGTCCAGAAACGATGTACACCACCGGTCACTCCAAATCCAACCATATGGGCAACAATCCATTCTAAAATTTTCCAAACAATATTTAAAAAGTGGATGCAAAAAGGCTTTCCAAAAACTTTCAAACTTTTCCCATAAAAACAAAACAAAGCGATTCTTTTACACAACGATTTTCATTACTCACCAAACAGAACTGTCTTTTTTTTCTGCAAATATGGAAAAGTAAAAGAAAAATACACCCCTGCAATATGTAGAACAAGAACAAAAAATGCCGTTAACCATTTTACTTCTGTTTTAAAGTAACTTGACGACTTTTTCGTTTCTTTATGATAAACTGTCGTTGAATCATTATTAACCGAAATTTCAGCTTTTGGTACCATTACAAAATTTTTAATTAATAATTTCAAGAATAAATATTCCCTTGGGAAGAAAATTTGTTTTATACTTCAATATTAAATTCCTTCTTTGCTTTGAAAAAAAAATTGTCGAGTTTATAGTACAAAATTAAAAACTAAACTATGTGCTTAAACTCATAGTCAAGATTTATATCAACTCAAATGAATTTTAAAGTTTCAAAAATTTACAATATTAAATCATTAAAAAAAATTACACTTTTAAATGTTTTATTGTCATTGAAATTTTAATTCTCTCAGGTCATCAATAATAATATTACAATGTTGCATTCTCATTTCCTTATGAAACAAAAATGTAAAATTAATTTAAAATGTCAAAAGTTTATTGATCAAGTTTGTAGATGTAGTAAAATAACTAACGGACATAAATTAATTTACATTAAATTTATGTAATTAAAAAAAAGATCACACCTCTGCAAATATTACAAGTGAAGAACCGAAAACTTCAATTTTTTTTATGACAATGATTTCTTTTCAAATAACTTAATTCTTGAAGAACTGTCACAAAATTATTACTTATAAATTATTTAATGAATAATTTTACTTTAATATTTCAAAATTAATTGAATTTTAAAAAAATTATTTATCAGAAATAATACAATAAATTCTTTTTACTGACATTCAATTATTTTCATAAATAATAAAATTCTTCGCGACAAATTCAATTGTACTTTCAGAAATAATAAAATTCTTCGGAAAAATTTTTTTATTCTCAATACAATTTAAAAAAAAATTTCTCTAAAGATTTCCATTACTTTCAAAAGTTTAAATAAAACTTTTGAAAATGTTTGAATTTCTGCGAAAATTTTGATATTTATGAAAATAATTGAATTCTTACGAAGAATTTTATTAAGAAATTAAAAATAATTAAATTTCTGACAATGTTCCTCAGAAATTTTATTATTTTTGAAAATTTTTATAAAATTATTTGCAAAATTCAATTATTTTCATAAATCACAATATTTATCACAAAAATTCAATTATTTTAAAGAATTTTAATAAAATTCTTTAAAAAATTCGCAATTATTTTCATAAATCACAATATTTATCACAAAAATTCAATTATTTTTAAAAATTTTAATAAAATTCTTTCCAAAATTCAATTATTTTCATAAATCAGAATTTCTGCGAAAATTTTGATATTTATGAAAATAATTGAATTCTTACGAAGAATTTTATTAAGAAATTTAAAAATAATTAAATTTCTGACAATGTTCCTCAGGAATTCAATTATTTTTTAAAATTTTAATAATATTCTTTGCAAAATTCAATTATTTTTATAAATCACAATATTATTTTCTTACGAACATTCAATTATTTTACATTGACACTCGCTTTTCCGTAACATTCTTTGCCAGAAATTCTATTATTTTCATAAATAACAATATTCATCACATAAATTTAATTATTTTCGCAAGAATTTTAATAAAATCCTTTGTAAAATTCAATTATTTTCATAAATAACAATATTTGTCACAAGAATTCAATTATTTTCAAGAATTTTATTAAAATTCGTCGAAAGAATTTATTTATTTAAAAACTTTTGATGCGAAATTCTTTATGAGAATTTAATTTTAAGAGACATTTAATTATTCAATAAATTATTTTTTTTATTTGAATAATTTAATTCTCTTAGTACATAATAAAAAATAATTATTTTATCACTCAGTTAGCTCTAATTATTAAAAAAAAAAAACAGGAATATATCGATCTCTTTATGTTTTTTAATAATAATCTTATTAGTTGTTGAATTTCAAAAATTTACAGTACATAGTACAAATATCATCAGTTTAAGAATTTTGATATTGAAATCCCTCTTTTTTCCCTCACAGTCTCCACTAGATCTTTAGTTGGTTGTTTTAAATCGTAAGCCCAACCGATTTTCGCAAACATATCAATTAAAAATGTCGTCCAATTGAGACCATAGTTTCCCAATTCAGCGCATTTATAATCGTACGGAAAGACATGATGATAATTGTGCCAACCTTCTCCTAAAGCCAAAAATGAAACCAACCAGTTTTCAGATGGACCTATCGTCCTATAATAATATAAAAAATAATTTAATAATTCCTCAACATTTTGTAAACGAATCTGATTCTTATTTTTAAATAGCATAAATAAAATCCTACTTGTCATAAGGTTTATAGCCAAAAATATGAGCCGCACTATTGACACTCCAAGTGGAATTCAAAGAATAAACATAACGTATAATTGTCGAAGTGATTGCATAATACCATCCTTCATTCCAAAAGTATACTGGTATTATTGTTGGTATTAAAAAAGAGAGGATAAATTTGAAAAACTGGAAATATCTGTATTTAAAAAAATACAAAAATAAAAAGAAGAATCATTAGAGAAACATATAGAGTTCCAGCTGAAGAAGTTCTGTAGAATTTCACTAGAATCATAAGAATCATTGTATAGAATCATTCTGTATGAATTCTAGTGAATATTCTATAGAATTTCACTAGAACGATTCTATAAAATTTCTACATGAATTCTACTAAATTTAAGTGATTTTTAATTAGAAAGAATAAAAATTCCGTGAAATAATTTTCCAAAATTTTCCTCAATTAATGATTTTCCAAAATTTACTATTTTAATAAAATTGTCCAAAAGAATTCAATTATTTAAAAAAAAAAAATTATAAAATTTTACACAAAGCTTCAATTATTTTCATAAAATAATAAAAATTTCACAGGAATTCAATTACTTACAAATTTTTAAATAAATTTCTTCGCAATAATTAAATTAAATTCAAAAAATAATAAAAATTTTACAGAAAATCAATTATTTACAAATTTTTTAAATAAATTTCTTCGCAATTATTTTCATAAATAATAAAATTTTTTACAGGGATTCAATTATTTTCGTAAATAATAAAATTTCTATTTAGGAATTTAATTATTTTTAAAAATAGTAAAACTCATCCCAGAATAAATTATTTTTTAAATTTAAATAATTGAATTCTAGTAGAATTTTGTAATAAAAATTCATTTAAAAATGAATTTCAGTTAAAAACAAATGAATTAAGAAAATTTAAAAAAAACTATTTCAAAAATTATTAAAAATAATGGATTTATAGAAAAATTTTAGTTAATACTGAAAAAAAAACTTTAATTTTGGAGAAATTACAAATTATTGCAGAAATTCAATTGTTTTCAAGAGTATAATAAACTCCTTCAAAAATAAAAAAAAAAAAAAAAAATTTACTTATAATGTTAAAAAATTTCAATTCTTTTTGAAAATAAGAAAAATTCTTTAAAGAATTCAATTATTTTCGAAAATTTTAATAAAATTCTTGGAACCAAATTCAATTACACAATAATATAATGTTAAAACATATTATTTCACTAATTTAAAATTCTGTCCAATTAAAAATCACTAAAATTTAGTAGAATTCATGTATAAATTCTATAGAATCATTTTAGTGAGTGGAAAACTTAAACTAATTTTTATTTCTCTTTTCACAATTATAATATGTTATTTTTAATTTTTTTTCATACTTTTCGCCAAACGCCGTAATCGGATCCGCTAAAATATCACTCATGTCAATTAGCTTTCCTCGTCTTATAACTTCCGGATGTTTCTCCATCATAAGCCAACCGACGTGCGAAAAGAAAAAACCCCGATTACTATTATGTGGATCTGCATCAGTTTCTGAATATTTGTGATGAACACGATGATCCCTTACCCAATTGTATAATGAATTCTATAATCGAAAAATCAAATTGCAAATATAATAGGTGATTCACTTAATGAATATATTATTTATTTGGTATTTAAATTTAAAAATTAGCTAATTTTAAATTAATTAAAATAATTCATTAAAATAATTAAAAAATAAATTTGAATTATTGAATTCACGTAGAAGTTTCTAATAAGAATTGATTGAAAAATGAATTTCAGTTTTAGAGTTTTCCTCTTAAATGCAGAGAAATTTAAAATTTCTTTAATATAACAATTGATGCTTTTGAAGTTAAGTTCGATATTTCTTCTATTTCTATTTGTAAAATTTGATTATTAATTTTTATTGAACAATCTGATGGTAATTTTATAATTCCAGTATTTCTCACATGTTGAGTAAAGGATTTTTTAAAACATTGTATGTCAATTTATTTTTATTTTTGCGTATAGCATAAATCTAAGAGTTGCGTGTTCGAGTTTTTTTCAGAGACTTAAGAAGAGTTTTAAATGTTTATGGTATAATTTAAGAAATCTGAATTTATTAGATTAGAATTGTTGCCATTTATTATTTATTGATGCTATTAGAATTTCTTGTATATTTTGTAGTGTTTTAATATATTTTTCAATTGAATATAGTTGTGTTATTTGAGTTTTTTTTAAAAATACCTACTTAAAAAGAGTTTTAAGTGTTTATAGTATAATTTAAGTGATCTGAATTTATTGGATTAGAATTGATGCCATTTATTATTTATTGATGCTATTAGAATTTCTTGTATATTTTGTAGTGTTTTAATATATTTTCCAATTGAATATAATTATAATTTTTTAAAATGGGTTTTTCATTTATTTATATGAATATATTTATTTCATTATATAGAAGACCAATTTAAAAAATTGTAATGGGGGGGGGGGGGTTGAAAATGGTAAAAAACAGGGTTTTAGAGTGCAAGACGTGCTTACTTGTCCTGATGTATAAAAGCAAACTAGAAGAATTAACCGAAGTGGCCATTTTGCTTTATAAGCTCGATGAGTCCAGAGGCGATGTACACCACCGGTCACTCCAAAACCACCCATTATAGCATAAGCGAATTCTAAAAATTGTATGAAATATTGTTCTTAATTTTTAAGAAACGAAATTGTCACCAATTTTCCGCGTTCCAAAAACGTTTATAAAATATGTTTTAAGAAAATTTTCATATCCTCAACATTATATCAACATCCATGTTCTTCAAATGTTTCAGGACCTTATTTTTTAGAACATTTTTTGAATAATAATAATTTTTTGAATACTCACGGAATGCAAAAGTTTTCATTGACTTAGAGGCCGGAAAAGTAAACATAAAATACAATGCTAGTGAATGTAGAATAAAAATGGAAATTATCATCATCCATTTCAATTTTGTTTTAAAATAACTTTGAGAAATTTCCTTTTCTGAATAGCTCATTTTTGGGACTGTTGTTTCAAATGCTTTTGGTACTATTACTGACATTCCTTTCAGAAATTTATAAATTTTTCCAGTTTTTAGTATAACCTGATGCACTTAAACATCAAACTATAATGCCTTCTTCTCAATAACTCTTCAACATTCTTGACTTATTTTTAAATCTACTTTGTGCGTTTATATAATCCAGAGCATTAATAGACAATGGAAATTTTATCACTTTATTGAATGATTTATTCCTTTTCCATTAACCTTCCACTTCTTCAAGTCAATTGGATTCATACTATGAGTGTATCTCATTCATCTGAATCATCTATTTCTTAAATATTTAAATTAAATTTTCATCTAAATCCATTACAAGCGGAAATTTATCCTGAAACTTTCCTGAACATTTATTGAAGTGGGGCATTTAAATCTTTACACAATTTTCACTAAACTTTGCAAGTAAATCTTTAAAAATAGTAGGTATATAGATATTGAAAATCATTGAATTTAGGAAAACTTTTTTAAATAATTGAAATTTTGACAAGAATTTTGTTAAAATTGTCGAAAATAATTGAATTTTTTGAAAAGAATTTTATTAAAATTTAAAAGAATAATTGAATTATTTCGAATAATTTTATTTTTGATTTGAAATAATTGAATTCCTATCAAATTTTTTGTCAAATAATTGAATTTATTTCCAGAATGTTAATAAATTTTTTTAAAATAATTACATTTGTCAAAAACTTTGTAAAAATTTTTATTAAAAATAATCAAAATTCTTCGTAAGAATTCAATTATTTTCATAAATATCAAAATTTTCGCACAAAATTAAAATATTTCACAAAAATTTTATTTCAACTTTTCAAAGTAATTGAAATGTTTAGAGAAGTTTTATTTAAATTGTATTCAGAATAATAAAAAATTTTATTTATTTATGAAAATAATTAAAAAATGTTTGCGTAGACTTTTATTACAATTGAAAATAATTGAATTTCGGAGAAAAATTTTATTATTTATAAAGATAATTGAAATTTTTAAATAATTGAATTCTTTTGGAAGAATTTTATTAAAATTTTTAAAAATAATTGAATTATGTCGAATAATTTTATTTTTATTAAAAATAATTGAATTCTTTGGACGAATTTTTCTTATTTTTTTAAAATAATTGAATTATTTGAATGAATTTTATTATTTGTGAAAATAATTGAATTCTTACAAAGAATTTTATTATTTATGAAAATAATTAAATTCTTCCAAAAAATTCAATTATTTGTAAAAATAATTGAATTATTTAAATGAATTTTATTATTTGTAAAAATAATTATATTCTTATACAGAATTTTATTACTTATGAAAATAATTGAAATTTTTTGAAGCATTTTATTGAGATTTTAAAAGAATAATTAAATTATTTCGAATGATTTTATTTTTATTAAAAACAATTGAATTCTTTGGACGATTTTTTTTCCTTTTCAAAAATAATTGAAATCCAGCGAAGAATTTTATTAAATATGAAAAATTATTCTTGTCAACAATATTACCTATGAATTTCTTTAAAATAATTGAATTCTTGAAAAGAATTTTTATTATTTATGAAAATAATTGAATTATTCTTTTGAAACATTTTATTAACATTTTTAAAAAATAATTGAATCTTTGGATTCATTTTATTATTTACAAAAATAATTGAATTCTTGTCAAGAATTTTATTAAAATTTTTTGAAAATAATATCACTTTTAAAAAGTACATTATTCAAATTTAAAAGAATAAATAAATTATTTCGAATAATTTAATTAAAATTGTAGGTATAATTATTCAATTCTTAGGATTAATTTTTATTATATATTTTCAAAAAATAATCGAATTCTTATATAAAGAATTTTATCAAAATTTTTTTTGATTAAGTGAATTCCGTTGAAGAATAGTAATAAAATTTTTTTAGAATAATTGCATTTGTCGAGAATTTTTTAATTATATTAAAAATAATTGAAATTCTACGATGTTATTTATTGCAAATGAAACTATTTAAATTTTATTAAAATTTGTGTAAATAATTGAATTAATGTGAAAAATTTTATTATTTGATAAAAATAATAATTGAAATTTCATTAAAATTTTTGAAATTTATTTTTTACAATTGCAAATTTTGCTTTTTTAGTTTATTTATTTTTTATTTTATTATTATATCACTCTTTTATTTTTGCAAATTTTCAACAAAAATAAATATAAAACTTTACGAGTAAATAATTTTGTTTAGTATCTTTATATTATATAGGCAGAATAATAAAAAGTCTTCCAAATAACAAAATGTAGATTTTCCATTTATTTTCATTTCTTTTTTTTTAATATTTGTTTTCTGTAAAAAAATTTACATGGGACTAAATAAATATTTAGATACTATTTTATTAATTTTTTTTCTATTTACAAAATCGGAATTAAATATAATTTTTTTTCAAATGATAAAAGTTTTTTTTAATTATTATTAAATTTTAAAAAATTTTAAATTAAATTTTTGTAATTGCAAAAATAAATTCGTTGACAAAATTGTAGTTTTATTTCTCCACCTGAGAACGCCAAGGTCACCACTAGATGGCGTCTAGCCATCTAGCGGTGACCTTGGCGTTCTCAGGTGGAGAAATTAAATCTTCATATTGAATCTCAATTTTTTCGCGAGAAAATTCGTATTTTTACTATTATTTGTGATTAGAAACTAAAGAGTTAACAATTAATAGAAATGATTTTCACTTTTTGTGCTATTTTTATTAAAAGTTATAATGATTTTTTTTAAAGAATAATAATATGTTGAATAATACATAAATATTAATAATCAGTAGACAGTAAAAAATATCACATTTAATGACAGTAATAAAATTAATATTTCGTTTGTAACGTTACTTTACGTATTTTTTATGAAAAAAAGCTGCGTCCACAAAATACTTTCCAAATGAACCAAATTATAAATGTAAAAAAAATCGTTTGAAGAGTTCGATGTATAACAAGTAATCTGAAATATAAATTTATCAATACAATTTTTTTTCATTAATTTTTTTTTTTTTTATAATAAAAAAATAAGTTTACAGTCTATTTTTATTGCTTACTTGTAATATCTACGAAGTGTTTCTCTCTCCTTTTGAGGATTAGTTTCATCCTTAACAATATATTTCAAAACACCCTTCCAAACCTCAATAAGTGCATTATGCCAATCTACATCTCTCATATCAAATTGAAACAATCTCTTATCATCCTCTGAAAGTTTCTCCCATAATGTCTCAATATTTTTATTCTCAAACGACCATTTTGTTTCCATAAAAAATTCACCGGCTTTTAAAAGTTTAAATCCTTTTTGGTAAAATTTGTAAAGTCTGATAAATAAAATATTTAACATAATTTTTTTTGTTTGATTTGATTAAGACTATAAATATTGTCGAATATTAAATACTCACTTGGGCTTCTTTCCCAAAATCTTTAAAATAAAATCACCAATTAATGCTGGCAGTAAATGAAAGAAGATATTTAAAATATCAAACGTTCTCTTCGATTTAACAACAGTTGCATCGGGAAAATAAACTGCAGTGCTTGGCATAAATCGACGACCACGACCACGAGCAACAGATTCAAATATATCTTTAGTAAGGGGATTTTTATCTCCATTTACATAATTGTACACTGGTAAACAATTAGTATCAGTAGTTGTTGCAGAAATTCTGTAAACAAAATAAATGTTCCGTATTTCAAAACCCAGGAAGTGTTGTCAAAAATATTTAATTTTTTAATTGCAAATAAATAAGAAAACCTTTTTAAATTTTTGTCAAAGTCCCAAATAGAAGCAATAAGGGCATTGCAGACAAAATCTGCTGGTACAATGTAAAGATGATCTTTTCTATTAGGAACCAAAAGTATGCGTACAAGTCCCATTCCTAACCAAATGACCCCTTGATTAATCCCTTGAACGATGTCCACCCATCCTGTGAATGGTTCTTTATACGTTCCCAATGCTATTAAATAATAAAATAATTCAATTTTATGAAAAATTTCAGAAATAGAAGACGAATAGTAAACAAATTGAAACAAATTTTTCAATCGGAATTACCTATAGGAAATCTGAAGATAAGAAATGGAAGGTCACTTGCTTTTTCTTTTACTATTCCCTCAGCGATTGATTTCGTAAAAACGTAAGTATTTGGATATTCTCCTAATAGTCTGAAACGAATTGTAATTACAATTAGTATTATAATTAGAATACTAATTTTAAGAAAAATAAAATACAAATTTTAATTTTAATTGTAATTATAATTGCTCTTTAATGACTTTGTGTAGTAACTGAATTTCCACCGTGTATGGAACTGTTGCGTGAGAGCAGAGAGACTCAACAGAGCGCAGGCGCCAAGAGTGGGGGGCAATGAGCGCGAGAGAGAGATTTCCAATTTTCTCTCTCACGCTCATTGACCCCCCTCCCCTACTACTTCCACTAACCGCCAGTTCGGTACACATTTCATTAGAAATATTTTAATATTTCTTTTCTATTAAAAAAAGTTTACTGTTTTCAAAAATAAAATACTTATGAGTAATGAGTATAAATACCGAATTTTACCGCATTAATTAATTTTAACTTAATTTAATACATTTTTGTAAATTCTTCTTCATCTTTTTCGGATAAATTCCGACGTTTTATTATATCAATTGTATTTTTCACTTCCTCATGACTCATTGGTATCGGATAAACTTTCTCTTCTATGCATTTGAGATTCATTCGAATAAATGCCGTAGATACGTGCACTGCAACCTGTCAAAAAAAAAAAAAATTTTCCCCGTTCAAATACATATTATAAAACTAATTTTTTTGGTAAATTTAAACTCACTTTTAGTTTCTTTAATTCTCGGCAAAATTTAATTATCTCTACAACAGCGTCAACATTTATAGAGACTGCAACATCTAAAGGTTCATCAAATTTTGTAGTAGCAGCCGAGTGAATTACAAGTGTCACCTTTATGGTTAAGGAGAAAAAAAATATAGTGACACATTATTTAGTAGACATTTCAAATTAATTGGATTTTTTAATTCTGAAATTCAAAAACAAATCAAAAAGTTAAAATGATAAAATCATTTCAAAACTTCACCTCATTTATAAGTTTCTTACGATCCGGGTCCGATAAACCCAAACATGGTTTTGTCACATCTCCATTTACAGGTATTACTTTTTTAAATGCAGAAGGATCCGTCTCTCTCACAGAATTAAACAACTGTCCAAAAGATTACACTTTTTTTTAACTCAACTAATTTTACGTTATTACCTTAAATTAGTATTAATTTTTTTTTAAAGTAAAAGTTAGTATTAATATGTTTAATAAATCTACTAGTTTTAACACTGTTAAATTTAAAAAAAAAAAAAAAAAAAAAAAAAAAAAAAATCCGTATTTACTAGATTTTTAATAGTCACACTTACATCTGAATTAAAGTATTCATCAAATCTATCCTGAATATCTTTCCCTTTCTTTCCTCTCATCAAGAGATATACTTTACCAACTTTCGGCAGACCTCGTAAAACTTTTTCCACTAAAATTTTGCCAATAAACCCCGTTCCACCTGTAAAATTCCTCAATTTAAAAAAATCTTTCCTCACAAAAATCCCAATAACATTACATTTTACAAACGCATAATTGAAAAAAAAATAATACCTGTAATAAATAAATTGTGACCTTCGAAAAATGTTTGAATTTCCGACATTTTATTAATTTTTATTAATTTTTAAATCGTTTAATGTCGACAAAAAAAAAATTATGACTCGTTTTAACAAAGCATAAAATTTCACTGCCTAAGACAATGATTTTTTTATTAAATGAAAATCATTGTTTGTTAAATTGTAAATTTTTTCATTTCAAATTCTTCGTATTCGAAAGATAATTAAAGAAAAAAAAAATGAATTCTTAATTATTTATGAGCTTTACATTTTGCTTTTTAATATACTTTGTAATAACGTGCCGTCGACATTAATGTTAATTTCCTAAAACCGGATGTCTCTTGTAAAAAAATTCAATGAATTGAATCAGGGACCGTCTCGAAAATTTAGTTTCGTTTTAGTGTTTGAGTTGACACGAAACTAAATTAACAAAGTGAATTTAGTTTCAAGTCGACACGAAACTAAATTAACAAACTGAGTTTAGTTTCGTGTCGACCCGAAACTAAATTAATAAATTAGATTTAGTTTCGTGTCGACTCAAAACAAAAGATTGAAAAACATAATTATTTAGTGTCAATTATAGAAAAATTGTTTCCCCTGACTTACGTAACTAGAGCAACGTAAGTAATTAATGTAAGTTATGTAACCAGAGTAAATTACGTAACTATAGTAATTTTCATAATTAAAGGAAGTTACGTAACTAGAATAACTTATGCAATTAATCAAACTCACGTAAGTTACTAAACTAGAATAACTTACGCAATTAATTAAACTTACGTAAGTTACGTAACTTACGTAAGTTTAATTAATTACAGAATTAAGTATATTTGAACATTTTTACGTAAGTTACGCAACTTACGTCAGTTTGATTAATTGTGTAAATGAAGTAATTTTGACCATTTATGTAAGTTACGTAACTTACGTAAATGTGATTATTTGAGTTGACGGTGTAAATTCCACCATTTACGTAAATTACGTAACTTGCGTAAGTGTGATTGATTGCGTTAGTTATTCTAGTTACGTAACTTACGTAAGTTTGGCCATTTACGCAAGTTACTGTAGTTACGCACTTTACTCTAGTTACTGTAGTTACGTACTTTACTCTAGTTACGTAAGTTATTCTAGTTATGTAACTTCCTTTAATTATGTAAATTACTATAGTTACGTAATTTACTCCGGTTACGTAACTTACATTAATTACTTACGTTGCTCTAGTTACGGATGACAAGGGAAACAATTTTTCTGTGATTGACACTAAATAATTATGTGTTTCAGTCTTTTGTTTTGAGTCGACACGAAACTAAACTCATTTTGTTAATTTAGTTTCGTGTCGACTTGAAACTAAAGTCACTTTGTTAATTTAGTTTCGTGTCAACTCAAATACTAAAACAAAAGTAATTTCTATTTAGTTTTGTTATAGAAGCGGTCCCTGAATTGAATACATTTTTTCTTTTCACTTGTTAAAAAGTATATGAAATTCAACTCTAATATTAATTAAATATAGTACAATAGATGTTATAAAATTGTGAATTCAATTTGAATTTCTAATTTTTTATTAAATGCATTACACAGCCACACAAAAAAAAAAAATTCTGATCTGGGGGTCTCACTATGTAGACTTTATGTTTTTTGGGTCGCTGAATCCGAATCCGAGGTCCATTTAACCCCATCATATCAGGATTTTGACATAACCTCAAAAACCCAATATGGCGGACACATTTTTGAAAAGTTTATCGGATTCGCTTGAAATTCGTTACTCTGGGGTTTTTGGGGACGCTGATTACGAATTTGAAGTCTGATTTCAAAAATTCAAAATGGCGGATCCACTATGGCGGACACGTTTTTGAAAAATTCATCGGATTCGCTTGAAATTCGTTACTCTGGGGTTTTTGGGGTCGCTGATTACGAATTTGAAGTCAGATTTCAAAAATTCAAAATGGCGGATCCAATATCTCTGTGTCAGCCATATTGGATCCGCCATTTTTAATTTTGAAAAACCGACATCAGATTCGTAATCAGCGACCCCAAAAACCCCAGAGTAACGAATTTCAAGCGAATCCGATGAATTTTTCAAAAACGTGTCCACCATAGTGGATCCGCCATTTTGAATTTTTGAAATCAGACTTCAAATTCGTAATCAGCGACCCCAAAAACCCCCGAGTAACGAATTTCAAGCGAATCCAATGAACTTTTCAAAAATGTGTCCGCCATATTGGGTTTTTGAGGTTATGTCAAAATCCTGATCTGATGGGGTTAAATGGACCTCGGATTCGGATTCAGCGACCCAAAAAACATAAAGTCTACATAGTGAGACCCCCAGATCAGAACTTTTTTTTTTTGTGTGGCTGTGTTATTTTTCAATTTTAGTAAATTTTTTCGAAACTTTTCAAAACTTGTCATTAACTCCTCATAGTTTCAACTGCATTGTACTTCTTCAATTTTTCTATTTAAGAAAATGTGTATTCAAAGAAAAAAGTGTTAAAAAATAAAAAATTGTGTAAATTAATTATTATTCTTTAATTTTTTTTTTCTTAAATTTAAATTTAAATGTTTCTTGGTGACAAAAATCATATTTTCCAGCTTATTTATTTATTATACTCAAAAAGTGTTTTATATTATATTTGTGAAAAATTAACAACTTTGACAAAATTTTAACACTAACAAATTGTGAAGTTGTTATGAAACTTTATTTGCAACCAATATTATCAGATTGGGATACTATCGAAAAAAAAACTTTTCTACTATTTCTTCAGTCGATAATTATAAATTTTTTTGTGGTGAAGAAAAAAAATATTTCCAATTGTAATAAAATCTTATTGGTAAATTAATTGGTGATGCCTATAGAATATAAATTGGATATAAAAATTGATCAATAAATAAAAAACAATTAAATTCTCTCTAGACAATCATTGACATAAATAATTACGCACTTATGCAATTCTCCATAATGAATTCGAATTGAAGAAATGACAATAGGTCAAGCGATTTTTTAATCGTATTTTCAATGGAATCTTTCAGGTTTGGAAATAAATTTTCTAAGCTTGAAAAAAAATGACAGTAATCACTGATCTTTACCATAGTCAATATATATAATAGTGTATCATTAATTTAATTTTACAGGATTTAAAAATTTAGATTGTATTTTTCAAAGTATTTATCGAAAATAGTAAATAAGTACTCAAAAAAAAAAAAAAAAAAAAAAAAAAATGAGCGTAATGGAAACTATTAATTACTATTATTACGAATTAGCTGGTAAGTTTACTGATTCTAATTAGTGGAAAGTTTTTTTATTTTTTTACGTACAAAAGTGTATTTTCAAACATAAAAATGTACTTTTCAAATACAAAAATGTATTTTCAAATACAAAAATGTGTTTTTAAATACAAAAGCCTATATTTTTTTCTGTAAATTCATCTCCAAGAATTAGCTCCACCTAAAAATAGTCTGCTTCATATAATTAAAAAAAATCTGACTCACTTTCTTTAGCATTTTATTTTAAATAACGAAATAAATTTTATTTTTTATTTTTTTATTTGTAAAGAGTATTGTTTATGTATTATATTATACATTTATTATATTATATATTTATTATATTATTATATAGTATTATATATTATTTATTTTATATTAATTTATTATTTATTTCTAAATAGAAAGTTGATTTTTAATTAATTTATTTATTAAAGTGATTAATGTAAAACACTGTTTTTAAATTTTGGCGCCACTGTGTTAGTACACAATGGTGGCGCTAGTGTCTTTTTCTGCCTATCATTTTATCAAAATATTTTATTAAATTACTTTATTAAAACATTTTACTCAAATATTTTATCAACATTTTTTTTAATAAAAAGTATTTTTCCATTTTGTATTAAAAGTAGTTTGCATTTTTTTTTTTTTTAATGTATGTCTTAGGGTACAGTCACACGATCGAGACGCCTGTTTATCCCCGTTTATGCAAATGCTCTAATAGTCATTTGATCTAATTTAAAGGTTATAAATATTCAAATGATCTAAAGAACATTGAATATAATGTGATTTTATATAAAAGTCTAATTAATAAAATGAGTTTATTCTATAATTTATTTTTAAGCCAATAATCAAAATATCCAATTCGCATTTTCTATAATCATAAGCAATTATAAAATTTTTTCACGCAAACTTTCAACTGATAAAATAGTTGTATAAGCCAAAGTTTATTTTTTATAATTTTATAATAACCTAATTTTAAAGTGTTATAATTTTTAATTTGTATAAATTGTAATTTAACAAATGTCTGTCAAATCTAAATGTAGTAAAATATAATTTATTTAAATAAAATATCTTTTTTAAAAAATGCTAACAACCTCGAATCGTCAATTGATCAAATATTCAAAACATCTAATCGTCATTTCGTCCAATGCTAAAAACATCGAATCGTCAAATGGTCGAATGCTTAAAACATCGAATCGTCAATTGATCAAATATTCAAAACATCTAATCGTCATTTCGTCCAATGCTCGAAACGTCGAATCGAGAAAAATTGGAAAAATTTGCTTGATGTAAGTTAACATTTATTTAAACCAAGCAAATTTTTCCAATTTTTCTCGATTCGACGTTTCGAGCATTGGACGAAATGACGATTAGATGTTTTGAATATTTGATCAATTGACGATTCGATGTTTTAAGCATTCGACCATTTGACGATTCGATGTTTTTAGCATTGGACGAAATGACGATTAGATGTTTTGAATATTTGATCAATTGACGATTCGAGGTTGTTAGCATTTTTTAAAAAAGATATTTTATTTAAATAAATTATATTTTACTACATTTAGATTTGACAGACATTTGTTAAATTACAATTTATACAAATTAAAAATTATAACACTTTAAAATTAGGTTATTATAAAATTATAAAAAATAAACTTTGGCTTATACAACTATTTTATCAGTTGAAAGTTTGCGTGAAAAAATTTTATAATTGCTTATGATTATAGAAAATGCGAATTGGATATTTTGATTATTGGCTTAAAAATAAATTATAGAATAAACTCATTTTATTAATTAGACTTTTATATAAAATCACATTATATTCAATGTTCTTTAGATCATTTGAATATTTATAACCTTTAAATTAGATCAAATGACTATTAGAGCATTTGCATAAACGGGGATAAACAGGCGTCTCACACGATCAATGCATCTGCATGATGCATGCATGCACAAACATTTGACTGTTCACACCTCAATTTTTCTGGCGGGATATTTAAAATTGATTAAAATTTAAAAATAACGTATTACTAATTATTACAATAAAAAATAACAAAAATTAAACGTTTATTATAAGGAATTAATTGTAAATAAATTTCTCTTAATTTGTGGCATATTTTAATATTGTGAATTTTTATAATTTAAAATATGACACAAATTAAGAGAAATTTATTAACAATTAATTCCTTATAATAAACGTTCAATTTTTTTTTATTTTTTATTGTAATAATTAGTAATGCGTTATTTTTAAATTTTAATCAATTTTAAATATCCCGCCAGAAAAATGATTTTTTGAGAGCGAAAAATTGAGGTGTGAACAGTCAAATGTTTGTGCATGCATGCATCATGCAGATGCATTGATCGTGTGACTCAAGAAGACTAGAGACAGGAGGGCTAACTCGGCTGTTTTCTCACTCACAGCAGTGAGTCAGTATTAGGTGGGTTCTGAAGGCGTAGTTAGATTGCGCCAAATATCTTGTTTTCGGTTCTGCACATCTCAACACTCTTACATTATATATTTGAATACGTGACACGCGTGTGTGAGTGGAAGTGCAGAATCAAAACACGATACTTGGCGCAATCTAACCACGCCTTCATAATCCCCCTATATTTGTCCTACCCCCACTACTACAGTTAGTCCTCCTGTCTCTAGTCTTCTTGGTGTGACTGTACCCTTACACGTAACGACCGTCAACAGAAGCATCTGCGCCTGCGCTACCCTCACTTTCTTATTGGTGGAAAATAGCGCGCTTACTTGAAATATTTTTATATAAAAATATAAGAGAATGTTAAGAATAATTTTTATTTATGTAATTAAATATGCTTCGAGGTTAATATAAATATTTTCTAATCGACTTCAATCGACTTTAATTATGAAAGTTCTTAAAGAGCAAATATTTGTTTACTATTATTTATATTATTATCATTATTATTTATATTTTATTATTATTATTTATATTTTTAAAGACAAAAAAATAATTATTTATTACCTTTTCATTTTACAGAAATAGAAAAAGAAGAGAGATTTGTTTTTAATTATAGCATAATTTGCGCATATTTTTGTCGATAAAAAATATTTTCTATAATAAACTTTCAGATCCTCGTTTAAAGGATTGGTTTCTAATGGACAGCGTTTGGTATCCCGTTACAATAATATTTGCCTACATAGTAATTTCCTTTAAATTAGCACCAGCCTACATGAAAAATCGACAAGCCTACAAATTAAATACATTTATTAAATGTTACAATCTTTTTCAAATTGTTACAAATGCTTATATCGTTAAGGAATTGGTGCCCTGCTATCCTTTTCATCGCTTTTTTGAGTGTCGTACTATATTGTATACAAATGATGCTATTGGCATGACGGTACGTATTCTTGGAAGTATTTACGATCTTTTTCACAATATGGACTCACAATCGAAATAATTAAATAATTAATAATAAAAATAATGATGATAATAATGATAAGTTAATAACTCCATAGAGATAAGAAAAATAGAGGATGTTTTAAAATAATTAAAAAAAAAAATAATTACTAAAATTGATAATTTCAGATAGTAAAATGTGGTTATTTGACAACATGCCTAAAAATTCTTGACCTCATTGAAACAGTAATTTACATTTTAAGGAAGAAAAATAATCAAATTTCAATATTACACGTCTATCATCATATAAGTACCTGTCTGCTCGCCATAATTTTCACAAGATATTTTTGTGGAGAAGTGGCTTTATTAATACCAATAATGAACTGTGGAGTTCATGTAATAATGTATTCCTATTATTTTCTCAGCAATTTTGAAGGACCACTTAAGCAAATGATCATGCCCTTCAAACGCTACCTGACTATTATACAAATGGTAAATATCATTATTTAAATTTATAATTTATACAACATTTTTTATTTATTATTTATAAAAGATTAATAATTAATTTTTTTCTTTTCAAATAAATTATTTCAATTTTTTTCTTGTTTCAGGTGCAATTCGCAATAATAATTGTACAGTTAACAAGCGCTCTATTACAAAAATGTGAATTACCAAAAATACTAATTTTCATAATGTTAATCAATATTATTCTCAATTTAAATTTGTTTTGCCAATTTTACAAGAACACTTACATTAATGCAAAAAAGAAAAAAACCCTCAAGAATAATTGATAAATAAATTAATAACCTAGGCAACAAAATAATGTAAATAAATAATTACATGTCATTCGAAAAAAAAAATTAGAAATTTTTGAAAAATTTAAATAAATCCGAAATAATAAACAACAAAAATAATTAATGTGTAGGAAAAATATTTAGAAAATATGTCAATAAGGAAAAATAAAAATTATTGTTTTCAACGTGTCAATTATTTACTGAGTTTACAAACTATCAATTAGTAGTTTAATGAATTTTTTCAATGAATACCAATTGATTTTAGATAACAATACAATCATAGTTATATACATGTATACATTCAGATATATATTTACATATTTGTATTTATATGTAAATATATATAAATATATAAAAATATATATAAAATTATAATTAATAAATTAATTATTTTTATAATTAATATAATTTTATAATTAAATTATAATGAATTATAATTCATAATTTACTATGATAAATATATATATATATATATATATATATATATATATGTATATATTTGAATTTATTTATATTTATATAATTCTATACCTATATAAATAAATTATCATTAATATATTTTTATATTATATGTATATTTATATGTATTTAAATAAATTATTTGTATTATTTGTACATTAAAAATAAAAAACCACTGTTTAATTAGTTTTTCGAGTAAAAAAAAAATTTTACACGATATTCGAACAATTTAATGAATATTGCAAATAATTTCAACCTATAAATTTTTCACATAAAAGAATATATTTAACAAAAGTTTAAAAAATTTTTTTAAAAATATTTTTTATATGCAATAAATAAAAAATATATTATATTTCTTTCGTTGCGTGTTTACAAAAAACAAAGTCATTCATTATCAAAGGGTAATTACATTCCAACAAACCAACAATGTTATTGAATTCAAATAGAATAAATAACAATAGGTCAAGTCAAATTTAATCGAATATTCATTAAATTATTCAAACGCATGTAAAATTATTTTTCTTTTTACTCAAAAAATTGACAAAAACCTATTAAACATTGACCAAGCTAGTGGCTTACTGCTTGAAAATTGGCATTTTTCTTTGATTACCTTTTTTTATATTTGGTTTTAGATTATTATTATTATTTTTTTTTTTATTTTAAAATTAAACATTTAAATTTAAAAATTCTAAATTTGTTTAAAATGGATTTTCTGGAAGATTTAAATTATTACTTCTACGAATTTGCTGGTAAGTTTTTTGTTTAATAATATTAGGCTTAGAATTAATGTTTTTTTTAGAAAATTCCGAACTTAAATTATTTTCAATTATTTTTCAAATGTCAAAAGAAATAAAAAGCAAAAACGCAAATTAAATATTTTTGTAAAGTTATAAATTATGTTTTATTACATGGTTCATTGGCAATTGAAAAATTAAATTTTGAATTCGAATTCGAAAATAAATTATTTTTTTTTCTATTTTAATTTTATCACAAAATTATTTTAATCTTGCAGATTTTGTTTGCTTTTTATAGAAAATAAAATTTTTTTGTACAATAAATGCTTGCAACTTTATTGTTTAATGATAAATTTTCAGATCCACGAGTTAGAGATAGATTTGTACTTGGCAGCATTTGGTTCCCCATTTTAACTATATTAATTTATTTATACATCTCATTTAAAATAATACCGGATTTCATGAAAAATCGTCCCGCCTACAAATTGAATACATACATTAAGTGCTACAATATTTTTCAAGTAATTACCAATGCCTATATTGTTAAAGAATTGTTAAAGTGTTATCCATTTAATATTATTCACATTTGTCGTCCAATGAATTATGGCACGGATGAATGCAGTATGAGGGTACGTAAACATTAAATCAAAAATGTAAAATTGTTTTCCTTTCAAAAGCAATTAAACAATTTTAATTTTCTTATTTCAAAAAAAAAAAAAAAAATTTTAATTAAATTTAAATTTAAAAAATGTAATATTGTAGATTTTTTAAATGCAAATAAAATAATGATTTCAGATAATGGAAATGTGTATAATGACAATAGGTTTAAAATTAATTGATTTAACCGAAACGGGAGTCTATTTACTGCGAAAGAAAACTAGTCAGGTTTCAGGTTTACATCTCTATCATCACATAAGTACATTTATCTTCGGATTTATGTTCCTGAGATTCTTCACCTCGGAAGTTGCAATGTTATTTCCAATACTAAATTGCGGGGTTCATGTTATTATGTATTTCTACTATTTTCTTAGTAATTTCGAAGGACCAATTAAGCAGATGATCATTCCTTTCAAACGCTACTTAACCCTCATACAAATGGTGAGAAGTAAATTTATTTTAAGTACTAAATTCTTTTTAAATACTAAATTAAAAACCGAATTCTTTTTAAATACTAAATTAATAACCAAATTCCTTTTTTAATACTAAATTAAAAACCAAATTCTTTCTAAATACTAAATTCTTTTTTAATTATTAAATTTCTTTACATAAAAAAAAATCTGCCATATTTTTGTTTCAGGCACAATTCACAATAATGCTTATACAAGTAGCGTTTTACATGCTACAAGACTGTGGAATATCAAAAATATTACTCGGCGTAACATTCCTTAATGTTTCGATCAATTTTTGGCTCTTCTTTCAATTTTACCAGAAAACTTACATTAATCCAAAAAAGAAAAAAATCAATTAAATATTAATGAACTAGGAAAACGTGTCAGAAATATCATTGCATTTTTGCAATTTGATTTATTTAAATCAAGAGTGCCAGGAAAAAGTTGAAATCCGTAATGTGCAAAGTGTGTGAATAATTCAAAAAAGTAAACTTTGGCCGATTAGAATCAAAGAAAAAAAAAACAGTAACGAAAACAAATTAATATTTGTCATCCTAAATACGTAATTATTTAAAAAAAAAATACCAAATACAGGAAGAAAAATTTTTTTCAATCGAAGGGTATATTGTTTTGAATTTTTTTTTAAATTCATTTAGGACATAAAGTCTCATGATTCTCTCACATATCGTCCAGATACAAATTCCTTAATTTTGAATTTTTTTTTAAATTCACTTAGGACAAAAAGTCCCATGATTCTCTCACATATCGTCCAGATACAAATTCATTAATTTTGAATTTTTTTTTTTGAATTCTTTTAGGATAAAAAGTCCCATTATGGTTCTCTCACATACCGCCCAGATACAAATTCCTTAATTTGTTTAAGGAGAAAGAATATTGTTTCTATATTATTGTTTCCTGTTTCCGAATAACAAAATTGATCATTGAATATCACTCACCGAATGTTCAATCCCTGCCGACGATAACTGAAAAAAAAATTTATTAATGAATTAGTGTCAAAAATATATCTACTAATAATTAAAGAGTAAAAAAGTATTTATTATAATTTATAACAAATTAAAGTTTAAAAAAAATTGATCAATTAAAAGGAAAAAAATATTAATAAATTAAAGTGTAAAAAATATTTTATACATTGAACATAATACATTAAAATTAAAAAATATTAATAAGTTAAAGTGTAAAAAAATAATAAATTAAAGTGTAAAAAATATTGTATAAATTAAACATGATAAATTGAAGAATAAAAAATAATAAATTAAGTGAAAAAAATATTTATTAATTTAAAAAAATTTTTATTAATAAAAGTGTGTAGGAAAAAGTATTAAACATAAAAATTATTTGCAATACAGACACTAATAATTATTATTCAGAAAACTGCTTTGATAAGTTCTTTTTTTTTTTTTTTTTTTTTTTTTTTCTTTATCAGAGAACCCAAAAATTATTTTCTAATTTTTTTTTACTGCAGTACATTGAAATTAGTTTGTACTTTTTTAATGAACGAGCTTTTCAACTGATAGCACAGAGACATTGTATATTTGAAATACAAATATTATGTGTGTAAAATTTTTTTTTTCCACTTAAAAGTGAAAAGGCGGAGTTTAAAAAATAAAACCGGTTAATATATCGTGAGTTTTATAAGAGTATATTTAAAGTTGTTCAATATAAAAAACACATTGAATTGAGTTTATCGTCTGATAAAAAACAGAAGTATTATAAAAGGAAAAAAAAGAGTGTATTGAAAAAAATTAGGAAGAAACGCCGTAAGTTTTATTTTTTATAAATTTTTAATTAAAACAAACAAAATATATTTGAAAATTTTTCAATTTTTCGCGTTGTTTTCGATTTTTTTCATTTTTGAATAAATCTTAAATTCTATTGAATTTTAATGACAAAAATTGAATTTTTATATTTGAATTGAATTTTATTATTTAAATGAAATTTTAATATTCATGGATATTTGGAAATTAATTAAGCAAATAAATTAATTAGATAAATTAATTCATTAAGCAAATTTTTCTATATATTTTTTTTATATCTGCAAATTGTATTTTTCTCTAGAAACTTTAGTTCTTGAAATTTAACTAATTAGATAATTTTTGTTGTATAAATTATTTTTCAATTTCGAAAATATGAGAAAACTTTTTAAAAAATAATTAACTATAGAAAGAAATACAAAAAAAAATTGTGCCGCGCTCGATCGTTGACATGTGTCACTGCTCAATGCCATTGACTCGTATCACTGCATTTCAATCTCGCATTGTTATATATATATTTGTATAATTTATAAATAATTTTTTATTTTTTTATTAATAAATAAATTTAAAACTAAATTTTTAAAAAAATTAATTTTTTAAATAAACTTTAAAATAAATTTTTAAATAAATTTAAAAAATTAATTAGTTAATTAATTTGCTAGTATAATGTTTAATATTCTTACATTTTTCTATTAAAATTATAGTTGATGTTTCCCTTCGGCAAAAATTTATTTTTTAAAAATTTTTATGACATTCATAATGCTTTGCTTGACAATTAAAATACTTGAAGAAAAAAAATTTTTTTTTGTTTTAAAGAAAAAAAATTTTTTAATTCTTTTGCAATCTTGTCAGCTTGTAATTTGCAAATTATTTATTACATTTCGCAATTTTTTAAAAATTTAAATTTACAGTTGCCTTTACTATTGCTTATTGAAGAACGCATGGCTGTTATCTTTTTTCCTATCTCTCAAGTGTATTTCGTATATTTTCTAAGTAAGCAAATATTATTATTACTATTATTATTATTTATATTATTTTTATTATTATTATTTCTCCCAATAATAAATTATTATTATTTATATTAATAAATATCTTCCATTTTTTTATTTGGCCTAATGGCTTCAATATATTTAATGTTATTCATATTATTCATATTATTATTATTATTATTATTAATATAAAAATTAATAATATAATTATTATTGATATTATTAATACTATTATTTTTTAATAAACTTCAGGAAAATATTAATAAATGAAATTAATTTAACGTTAGTCTAAATTATTATTACTACTACCTATTATTGAATTTTCCAGGAATTATATTACTACTATTATTATACAAAAATTTTTTATTATTATTATCTATAACTAATTCTGGTTTAGATACGTGTATAGGAGGAAACATTATTTATTTATTTGTTTCTCTTTTTTTACTTTTTTATAATAAACAATATTATTATTTAATAAGTTTGTTTAAGCATGAAATTTAAAGTATCTAGAAAAATATTTCCGCACTGATAAACAAAACTTTTTATTTAAGTATTAATTGATATAATATATAATAATAAATAAATATAAAATATGTGCATTATAATATATTTAATATATTTTTATATATTTTATTTTACCATAATTATTATTTTATTATTTTTATATTTTAATTACTATTAATTAATTATTAAAAAATATATAATAATTAATAACAAATTTTGTTAACTAACTTTTATTTTATTCCTTTTTTCGCAGGTGAATTTAATAAATGGTGAACAATTAACTGTCTCGTTAAATTTTAAAATAATAAATGAAATTAACAGAACGGGTCAAGCTCTACCATCGAATATTCATTAAAACGCCCATTTCACGATTAAATTGGTGTTGTTTTTTAGTGGATTTTTAAATTTTCGAAAGCGATTTGTTCACGCCTTAATAAATTAAGTCAGTATGAAAAAGTCAAGCCTATCAGCATCAAGTGATTGAATCAGTATTCGTCAATTATTTTAAGTTTTCTTCTTTCTTACGTTTATTTTTCTCATTAAATATAAAAATTTAATTTTAATATGGGACTACTCGAAACTATCGACTATTATTATGTTGAACTAGCAGGTGAAAAAATTATTTACATTTTTAGCCCTTACTTTTTGTGAAAAATATTCATTTCTGAATTGAAAAAAAAAACAAAAAAATTAATTCATAAAAAAAATTCAATAAAATTAATTCATTTAAGTTTATTAAAAAAAATTTGATTATAAATTTAATAAGTTTTTAATTTACAGATCCTCGAATGAGAGATTGGTTTCTACTGAAAAGTGTTTGGACACCTATTTTAATAGTATTATTTTATATATTGGTTATTTTTAAATTAGCGCCAAATTATATGAAAAATCGACCAGCGTACAAATTAAATACATTCATTAAATGTTACAATGCATTTCAAGTGATTGCAAATGCTATTTTAGTTAAAGAATTTTCATCCTGTTATGAATTTCATCGTGTTTTTGAATGCCGTGCTGTGGTCTACAACATGGATCCATGCGCAGTAAAAGTATGTTTTTATTTACTATAATTTCCACTTTCATAGATAATATTATTTAAAAAAAAATTAAATAGCCAAAACAAGCCAAGTTATGTAAGAAATTTAAATTTCTAAGTATTCAAAATAATTAACACGATAATTTTTATTTATTTTTATAATGAAAAACAATAGATTTTATGAAATAAATATTTAAAATATATTTCAACTTCTACTTCAATTGAAATTTTTAAACATTTTTCAGTTAAACTTTATTTGAACCTATACTGATATTTATTTCCAAAAAAAATGTTAATGCAACTTCTCTAAAATTCAATTCATTCGAGAAAAAAGAAATTTCACTTAAAAGAACGTCTAAAATTCAATATTTTCAAATGCCCATAATATAGAACTTTTTAAATATTCAATAATTTTCTATTAAACTAAAATTCTCTTCTAAATCTATTATTTTGATAATTTTAATGTCTTTCAAAATTGAATTAGTAAAAAAATCAATGAAAAATTCACTTAAAATACGTAATACTTGTATGGCCCTAAATCAATTATTTTGATTAATTTTCAGAAAGTTCTCCAAGAACTCAATTCTTTAAATACAAAACAAAACTAATTACTGTTGAGTGTTGTTATTGTTTTTTTTTTTATGATTCATCTTTATTTAAAAACCACTTTTCCTGTTGTTACAAAATTCTGCAGAATTTTTCGATTATTAAAAATAATAAAAAAGAAACATAATTTTATTTTGCAGGTAATGTATGGGAGTTACATAACAATGTTATTAAAAATTGTCGATCTAATTGAGACAGTTTTGTTTATACTTCGCAAAAAGGACAAGCAAGTGACAATTTTACATGTCTACCATCATATATCAACCGTTTTGATTGGCATGACATTTTCGAGATATTTTAGTGTCGACATGGCTTGTTTGTTTCCGATTTTAAATTGTTCAGTTCATGTGATAATGTATTCATACTATTTTCTCAGCAATTTCGAAGGACCAATTAAGCACAAGATAGTTCCATTTAAACGATATCTGACCATCATACAAATGGTAAAGGGAATTTTTATATAAAAAAATAAAACACATGACGTCAGAAAACGAACAAAATAATTAAATTCTGTTTTTTGTCTGCAATTCAAAAAATAAATTTTTAAACTCGTTTACATAAACTTAAAAATTAAATTCAAAATTATAAATTCAAAAAAATGCGAGTTTTAAATTAAATAGCCGACGTCATGTGTCGCGTAAAAAAGCAAAATAGACAAGAAAATAAATTAATATTGTAATTGATAATTTATTTTTTTGTCTAGACGAAAAAATATTTTAATTTTCTCTATTTTCTTTTCTATATTAAAAAAAAACATATAAAGTTATCTTAAAATATATTTTTGTCTTTCAGGTTCAATTCGTCATTTTGATATTTCAATTATTCTTCGCATTCCCCAAATCATGTCCATTGCCAAAAATTCCATTTGCAATTATGATGATAAATGTGATACTCAATATGGGATTGTTTTATAATTTTTACAGAAAAACTTACTCCAATCAGAAGGAAAAGAAAAAATAATTTTCTAATAAATATTTATGAATTCTGTTTTTAACACAAAAAAGTTGATAGGTCAAGGAGAGACGAGGTTTTTCAAAAAAAAATTAAATTAGCGCCAAGTTGAAAAAAATTTGATTCGTCATTTTTCTAAAATTGACCCAAAAAATACTATTATTTAAAATTTTTAATTTTCATAAAAATTTTGTTAAATATTTTTCTTTTCCTAATTTTGTAAAAAAAATAAATAAATTATTTTACATTAATTTATTACTCTTTTTCTCCCTTTTCACTAAATTAAAAAAAAAATGCCTAGTCATAATCAAAATACATAATTAATTGTAAATACATAATTAATTTTTTCAAGTTCTCAGGATTTGAAAATTTAATTAAAAGAATGTAAATTAAAAAAAATATATGAAGAGAAAATAAATTTCTATTAAATCAACCTTTTTGTTTTTAACAACAATAAAGAATATTAACTTCCATTTTTCGTTGCGCAAGTGAAGCAAATTTTCAGTGATTCTCGAAAACACTTCTCAGGAAATTTGTTTCCCTGCTTTGAAAATTGTAATTTTTAATTTGAAACTATTCATTAAATTCAAATGAATGGAAATTTGATTCGAATTTCCAATTTGAATTGAAAATGAAACCTTTGAAAGTTTAATAAGATTAGAAATAAGTATTTTGCTAATAGAAAGATTTTTTTAGATTTCCGTTAAGTTCAATACAATCAAGATCATAACCTCCAACTTAAAAGAGTGCGTGTAAAAAAGCAAAAAAAAATGTGTCAAAACTCAAAAGTTCTAACATTTTTATTTCTTTGTTAGTAAAAATAATTCACTTTTCCGATATTGAGAGAAAAACACAGAAATAATAAAAACATTTACGATATTTCTTGCCACCAATGCACCAAATGCCAAAAAATTACCTTTTTTTAACCATTTCTTTTCTCTCCTATTGCCGTATAAAATTTGTCAAAAAACTACTTCATTAGTATAAATTCAATAAATTTTAATCTTTCGATAGTGTTTCGCACTATTTTCTAAAAATAATTCGATTATTTTCACCATTTCCACACTAATTTATTCACATCGCGTCCCGATTGGCAACTGCCAAAAATCGTCGACTTTTAGGTTATGTCTCCCAACGTCACTGCGCAGAATCACAGAGCAACAGCGCCATGGCGGGAAAAAGTTTTAAATTCAAAAATTGATTTCCATAAAATCATTAATTGTTAATTTAATTATTAATTAATTAATAATTAGTTCGTAACCTTATTTAAACCATATTTTTAAAGAAATAAAAGTCGCCTGTGTATAAATTCAGAAACAAATTTATATTAAACTTAATGTAAAGAAATTACACAAAAAAAAAGTTGAAGTGAATGACATAATGACTAATAACAATTGCTGAACTGCCATCGCAATTTTTTTTTTTAACAAGGCATATACAGTGTTTTAATTGAATAGACTGGAATTTAATTAAATCAGTGTTAATATAAATTAATCTACAATAAAAATATCTCTAGAAATTAACAAATTTTCCAAAGCATTTACATTTGTGACGCTTCTCCAAAGGTAAAAACAATTCGAGGTTATGTTTAAATTTTAAAAGTGGAAATAAAGAAACAAAATCAATTACTATTGTGAAAATTATTAATACTCATGTCTTTGTTACCGAAAACTCAATAAAAACTGTTTTTAAATTTAAATGTAATTAAAAATTACCTGTTAATAAACATGCTTTGTAAGACAAACATAACCTGAAATTCCTTTCTTAGGAGCAAATCGGATTCGTTACAATTACAATTTTTTCCTTTTTCATTGCATTGTATATATTTACAAGGAAATTAATTCGACTTTTTAAAAAGTCTTTAAATGCTGAATAATATAGAAAACTTTGCACAATAATTTCATTGAACATATACATATATAATAATTTTTGTAAAATAATTTTTTAAAATTTGTTTTTTTCTCTTTAAATAAATCTAAATACTCGATTATTTGCATATACCAATATCTATCTACCTATAATGGACTAAATAAAATTAATATTCAATAATACAATATTTACGTTTCACTGTTTTTTTTCATTTTCTTTTTTTTTTAATAGAAATCACTGAATGTGCGCACTTTTTCTTCCTCTCGAGATTTTTTGCACAATATTCTTTTTTAAACGTGTTAAATTTCTTTTTATATGGTTGTAAAAATTTTTACGCAGAGCATAAAAATTTGGTATTATTGCTACAAAGCCATTTCATCTTCTCTTGTTATAGTTAATTAGTTACATATATATATATTTTTTTATTATTAAAAACTACAGTTTCACTTTCAACGTGATATTTTTTAATATTTATCTCCTCCTCGATGCGATTTTTTTCTTCTTTCGAATTATTAGCTGATGTTTTTTTTCATTTGGAAAATTTCTTTTCGTATTTATGAAATTTTTTATATATAAATTAATTGATTTATTAGCTAAGAAGTGCTCGTATTTCTTTGTGCATATGGCAGAGAAAATCGACGTAACTTGCACTTCCGTCCGTTCCTTTGTCCTCGACGAGGAAATGTCGGAATACCATTTCTAATTTGTCTCTCTGTCTCACCATCGTCAACTGTAATCATATTTTTAATATTTATTACGATAATTAATTTTAATATTCGATAGATGTTCTTTAATTCAATTGGTTTTATTTAAGTTAATAATTATTATTTAATTTAATCGTTTTTCTTTAATTTAATAATTATAATTCAATTTAATCATTTAATTAGACAATTAATTAATAAGAAGTAAATAATATTTTTTCGATCAAATTATTTTTTTTTATAAAAGTAAAATAATTATATTTTATTTTGTCAATTGCAGATTTTTCAAAAAAAAGGGTAAAATAAAGATGAAATATAAAAATAAAATAAAGGTAAAACAAAGACCAAAATAAAGATGAAGATAAAAATAAGAATGAGAGAATAAAAAATAAAAAATAAATAATAATAAATACATAACTAAAATTCTATATAATTAAAGGGGGAGAAATAGTAATAAGAAAAGAAATATTAAATCTTACCCGCATACAGTGATGTCGATCAGTACGAACACAATTTATTATTTCATTAACTCGTCTATTAAGTGGAGTGTCCACAATCGGAATTTTCGTGCGATCCGTATCAATTTGAACGACTGACGGTACTCCGAAAACTCCTTGAACCCATTGAGAACTGAGTCCGAGGCCCATCCACAGAAACATGTGAATTCCATTTTCTATTTAAATAAAAAGGAATGTAAGTAATTGTTTTGCAATAAAAAGGTCTAAATCTAAATGAAAATAATATTATTACAATAAAATAAAAAGGTCTAAATCTAAATGAAGATAATATTATTACATAAAATAAAAGGGTCTAAATCTAAATAAAAATAATATTATTACATAAAAAAAAATTAGAAAGAAATTTATAAAATTAATAATAATAAAACCAAAAAAATTACAGTAAACAAAAAATTTGTTTGAATATTTAAATGAAAATAAAAATTTTTTAATTATTTTAACTATTAAATCAAAAAAAAAATAAATAAAAATAATGAGAAAACTACCAAGTAAGTAGCATCCGTCGTCCGTAATTTTATCGATTGAACACCGCAACATTTGAGGCAAATCCGTTTCCTGCGGATCCAAATTGTGAAGAGGAAGCATTCGGGGATAGAAATAATTGACTGAGGTATAAACAGGCATTATAGAAACAGCTTGCATCACGTAAGATCTGTCGTCGATTGTCATGTCCGCACCTGAAATCAATTCATTATTTTACTAATAAGTACAATTTCAAAAAAAATTTAAAATTTTTCTAAATGAAAATTTCTAAATAGCACAAAAATAATTAAACTAAAATTAAAATATGTAAGAATTTTCCGAGAATTTTAACTTTTATGTTCAAAAAATAATTTCGTTCAAATGAATGACGGTAATTTTTTACTTGACTCTTAATTTGTATTTTTTTTTTACAAAAAAAAGTTATTTATTTGAATTCTATTTTTTGGGAAATAATTAAAATCTTTAAAAAATATTGAAATTTATCAAATCAAATAAAAAATAATTAATTAGAATTAGTTTTCTATTCTCAACTAAGTAGATATTAAATTTTTATTTATTCTTTTTTTTGAATAAAGTAATTTTTAAAAAGATCCTAAAGTTCTGAACGTTCAAATGAACGAAATTTATTTATTTCTTCTACAAATTAAATTTTTATTGCAATTATTTTGCGTCACTATCCAAAAAAATAATAACTGAGTTTCTAACCGTAAATATTTCAGTTTTTAAATTTTTTGTGATTAGTAATTTATAAAAATATCTTCAATAAAAAATATTTCGTTCATTTGAACGTTCAAAACTTGGAGATCATTTTTTAAAAGCATTTAAGAAGAAAACTTTTGTTCTTAAAAGAGAAACAAGAAAATTTTCAAATTCTTTAGGAAAATCAATTTTGAAAAAAAAAAAATATTGCAGAGAGAAAGAAACTCACCACCGCAAATTGCATCGCTTTTCATTAAACAATTGACATAAAGAGGCAGAAGTTTCATGCATTCTGGAAGAATCAATTGTCCAGCACTACTTGGAGCAGCGCAATTTTTCCTATAGGCTGCCAGCATATTTGCACATCTGGAAATGAGATTTTCCTTCACTGCCTTCGGAGAGTGTTCCAATAATTTAAACACACCTGCGAAAAAAAGTCCCAAATAAATTAATTTATTTATTCACAATTTTTTTTTATTTCTATTAATTAATTAAGAAATGAAAATAAAATTTTACTACAATTCTATATATATAAGAATTCAAATATTTTCTATAGAAAATTTTAATTAAATTCCTCTAAAGAATATTAATTTTCTTCGAAATGATTTATTAATTAAATTTTCAAAAATTTTAATGAAATTCTTGTCATAAATTCAATTCTTTTCATAAATAATAAAATTCTTTGCAGCAATTCAATATTTTTCAATACAATTTCAATCTTTTTTGATAGAATTCAATTATTTTTAAAAATCTTAGTAAAAGTCCTTGAAAAAATCAATTATTTTCATAAATAATTAAATTCTTCATAGAAATTCAATTATTTTTGAAAATTACAATAAAATTTTTAGCAAAGAATTCAATTATTTTCGTAAATAAAAAAAATTCTTGGCAACCATTCAATTATTTTAATAAATAAAAAAATTCTCCAGAGGAATTCAATTATTTTCAGAAATAATACAATTTTTAAGAATAATTCAATTATTTGCAATACGATTTTTAATTAATTCATTTGAAAAATTAATTTTCAAAAACTTCTAAAATTCCTCAAAACGAATTGAATTATTTAAAATAATGTTTACAAAATTCTTCGCAAGAATTCAATTATTTTCATAAATAATAAAATTCATCACAGGAATTCAATTATTTTTGAAAATTATAATAAACTCCTAGCAAAAATTCAATTATTTCAGTAAATAAAAAAAATCTCTAGAGTAATTCAATTATTTTCAGAAATAATACGATTTTCCAGAAAAATTCAATTATTTGCAAGAGGTTTTATAAAATTCTTTATAACAATTCAATCATTTTCATTACGATTTTAATTTAATTCATTAAGAAAAATTCACTTTAAAAAATTTCTAAAATTATTCAAAAGAATTGAATTAGTTTTGATAATTTCAATAAACTTTTTTCGCAAGAATTCAATTATTTTCATAAATAATAAAATTCTTAGCAAAGAATTCAATTATTTTATTAAAAAAAATATTCTTCAAAACAATTAAGTTATTTTTATTTAAATTTCTCGAAAAAATTAAATTACTTTCAAAATATTTGTTAAAATTCTTTACAAAAATTCAATTATTTTCGAAAATAATATTTTTCAATTATTTTCACTCAAATTTCTCGATAAAATTCAATAACTTTAAAAAATAATAAAATTCTTCTTAGGAATTCAATTATTTTCAAAAATAATAAAATTCTTCTCTGAAATTCAATTATTTAAAGGAAAATTTAGAAACTTCTACGCAAGAATTCAATTATTTTAGTAATTAAAAATGTTCTTCAAAACAAATTCAATTATTTTTATTTGGATTTCTCAAAAAAATTAAATTACTTTCAAAACATTTGTTAAAACTCTTTCTAATAATTCAATTATTTTCGAAAATAATATTTTTTAATTATTTTCACTAAAATTTCTCGATAAAATTCAATAACTTTAAAAAATAATAAAATTCTTCGTAGGAATTCAATTATTTTCAAAAATAATAAAATTCATCTCTGAAATTCAATTATTTAAAATAAAATTTAGAATCTTCTTCGCAATAATTCAATTATTTTCATAAATAACAAAATTCTGCTTATGAAGTTAATTATTTCCAATATAATTTCAATAAAATTTTTTAATAGAATTAAATTATTCTTAAAATTCTTTATAAAATTCCTTGAAATTCCATGCAGAGAAATGAAATTTAAATAATTTCATTGGCGAAGTTCACATTTTTCTAATTAACAATTTGGATCGAAAAATAAATTTCCATTCTAATATTTCTCTAAATAAATTGTTTTTTATAATTTATCTTTTCTTGTTTTTTCCTTTGAAAATTTTGAACCTTTCTTTAAAAATTTGTTCTACGAAATATTTTCCATTAAAACAATTTTTATATATTATTATTTGTAATAAAATTTCATCAATTATCTTTGGAAACATGACTCAAAATTAAAGTAGAAATATTTTAATGAAGAAATAAATATTTCTTATAAAAAATTTTACGTTCCTGAAATTGGCGTCAAGGCTCAGCATCGAAAACTATTTTTTTTTTAGTGATAAAATTTTAACTAATTTTTTAATCTTAAACCTTAGACAAAATTGATTCATTTTTTCCGGTTTTGTGAAAAAAATATTTTTTGATGCTCAGCGCCGACACCAACTTCAGGGACCTAAAATTTTCTTCTAATTGTTGATAGTAATCGTTGTGAACTTCATCCACGTAAATTTTTTCTTTTCGTTGAAGAAAAATATTTTTTTTTCTCTTAATCGTTTTCTCGTAAACGTTATGAACTTCACGAACGTTAATAGTCGATGATAATGTTGTAAATTTTTCCAAAGAATTTTTCTAAAGAGTAAGTAAATCATCTGTAAAAAAAAGAATATCAGTTGAATTCCAAATATTTGATTAAAAATCATACCTTGTTTCGAGAAGAAATTAATAATAGCGTCCAAATCACAGGCCCGATACAATTCCGCCATTTGCGCCGAAGTCTTCAGACTAAGATTAATAACTCTCAATCTCCTGACACCAGCGCACGAAGTGTAGAGAAGTGCCGCCTGTATAAACACTCCCTCCTCCTCTGCCAATTTATCATCGTGCTTAATTTCAATCGCAACCGCCTTGTCACAATCGATACTCGCCAATTCCATATCCGTGGTATTCGACATGTAGAAATGTCCATAGAAATCCGTCGGCCTCACTCCAGTCGAAGTCCTCACTCGCATCACAGCATTAAAGGCAATCGGTCTACTGATATTATTCACCACATCCACAATCAGTCTGTCCCCGTCGATGTCCGCCTGGAAATACGTGTACTTGTAGATTTCCCCTCCGGTCAGTCGGCAAACTTGTCCAATCGTCGCCACATCAATGTAGGAATTGTTAAAAACGAAGAGATCGACGCTACAACCCGCGGCGACGCAATCTTGTCCCAGCGTGTTGTAGACGTTATTCTGTGGTGCTAGGATCGTTTTTTCCTTTTCACTCCCCAGTAACTTTCTATCGTCACGATTTTTCAGTTTTCCTGGCGCTTCCGCAATGGGGAGGGAAGAGTGAAAGACCATCAGCTTCCCGGCGCATTCGGACGCTTTTAGGGCCTCGAGACCCGCTTGGATTGCCGGGGCTAAAATCGTCTCCGTTTCCCGTGTGTCTGCAAACATGTTCGGTATTTGGGTCATTAACGAAGTGATGACCTCGAGACTTTCCTCAGCGTCGCAGAGAAAACCGTCCAGCAGGGGCATAAATACGTCCTGAACATCGCCGACGACCATCATCTGCGGTTGAGCCAAACATGACTTTATGTTGTAGAAATGCACCGTGTTGTTGTAGGTGATAAAACCGACTTTCATCCTAGTTCTCGTCTGCCCGGCGTCTATGGGCAAATTCCTAATGATGTTTTTCATTTCCGAACAGATTAGATTGACAAGACCGGACTTTATTGTATTGTAGGTGACGTCAATGACGAAGATTACCGCCGGAGGGTTCGGGAACTTATTATCCGGACAGTAGTCCTTAGTGGCGATGAATTCGTAACTTCCAAGCATCAACTCGGGCCGTTCGTAGCGATCCATTCGCTGACCGGTGTGATCTAGGTGTTGAAAGTACTCCGTCGGAACTTCGGTGGTCGCTTTGCAGAACATGCACTGAAAGCGGCGACCAGAATCGATGAATTGCATGAAAGGACTCATGTACGCTTTGCAGCGGACGCAGCGCACGGGGCCGATTTCGCCCATGTCGACAATGGGAGGTTCGTACTCGCCATCCTCGACACGGGCCATGGGGCTTAGGATCAAACTAAAAGGAACGCTGGTCTGTTTCATTATGTCCGTCGTTGTCGGTACGGTATACATCGTGGAGCGGACAAACCTCGGAGAAGCGTTCCCTTGGTCCTGAACGGTGAAATTTGTGGTCACTAGCGGAGGGACTAGGCCCTTTTGATTCGTGATGAAGTTGCCACTGCGGGAGCGACGATCGTCTTGGATTACTTGAATGGGACTTGGCATGTGGTCGGGGTCAAGTCTCCTGGCTTGTTGTTGCTGTTGTTGTTGGTTTTGTTGGTAGCCTGATTGAAAGCCTCCTTGGTGTCCAGGATGAACAGGTTGGTGTCCACCCTGATAGGGAGTTCTTTGGTTCGCGTACATGTCATTTTGGTAACCTTGCTGGTAGGGCATTGGCGCCTCCTGTTGGCGGAGGACTCCTTGACCGGGAATCGGAGGTCCCATGTACTTCTGGTTATACTGATTTTGATTCGCCAAATGGGGTTGCATGCTGGGTAAGGATTGTTGTGTTCGTTGTCCTGGGTAGTGCATCGAACCTGGAGCCGCTCCGGGATAGGTTTGTTGTCCCGGCAAAGGAGGGCCGGAAAGATTCTGTTGTCCTAACGAACCCGAATGGGTTTGTTGTCCTAAAGGACCCGAATGGCTCTGTTGTCCTGGAGGCATTGTATTCGATAGATTTTGTTGTCCTTGCATCGGAGGAGCTCCAATCGAACTGGGAAAATGTTGTTGTCCCGACATAGGAGGAGCTCCTAAAGGACCCAAAAGGTTTTGTTGTCCTGACATCGGAGGAGGACCCGAAAGGTTCTGTTGTCCCGACATCGGAGGAGGACCCGAAAGGTTTTGTTGTCCTGGCATTGGATGAGCTCCTAAAGAACCCAAAAGGTTTTGCTGTCCCGACATCGGAGGAGCGCCCAATTGACTTTGTTGTACAGGAGGAATCGTACTCGAAAGATTCTGCTGTCCAGACATTAGAGAACCTCCCAAAGGACCCGAATGACCCTGTTGTCCTGATAATGGAAGACCTCCTATCGAATTAGAATGATTTTGTTGTCCTGGCATCGGAGGGAAATTCTGTTGTCCTGGTAACGGAGGACCCGAGAGAGTTTGTTGTCCCGACATTGGAGGAGGACCCGAAAGATTCTGTTGTCCTGACATCGGAGGAGGACCCGAAAAATTCTGTTGTCCCGACATTGGAGGACCTCCCAAAGGTCCCGATTGGGTTTGTAGTCCCGGGAGAGGCGAACCCCGCATTGAATTAGAATGATTCTGTTGTCCTAGGCTCGGAGGAGGTCCCGACATCGGAGGACCTCCCATTGAATTCGAGAGGTTTTGTTGTCCCGACATTGGAGGACCAGAAAGATTCTGTTGTCCCGACATGGGAGGACCTCCCAAAGGTCCCGATTGGTTCTGCTGTCCCGGCAAGGGCGAACCTCGCATTGAATTAGAATGATTTTGTTGTCCAAGCATCGGAGGAGGACCCGAATGATTCTGCTGTCCCGGCAGGGGCGAAGCGCGCAAAGCTCCCGAGTGGTTCTGCCAATTCTGCTGTCCGGGCATCGGAGGCATTTGCGAATTTTGCTGTCCAGGTAAAGAAGGACTTCCCCCGTGGTGAGAATTCTGTTGTCCAGGAAGTGGAGGCCCGCCTCCAGGGTGAGAATTAGCCTGGCCTGACAGAGGTGGACCAGAGGACAAAGGTGGACCTGAGGACAAAGCCCCAGGATGAGAATTCTGAGCTAGAAGAGGACCGGGGGAAATGGACAGACCCGAAATCGGAGGCATATCTCCAGATGTTAGTTGTTGACCGGGCAAAGGCGAACTCGACGGAGGATGGGAATTCATGTGTCCTGATAAAGGTCCACCCTGTCCGGAAATTGACTGCGACAAATTATGTTGTAAAGGAGGACCGGGGAGATTTTGCTTCATCCCTCCCATTGGAGGTCCTGAATATTGCGACTGACCCATCATTGAGGAACCGGAAAAATCGTGCGGTGGTTGTCCAGGTAATGGACCACCTGGTGCTTGTATCGACGAATTCATTAAAGAATTTGTTTGTGACAAATTTTGTTGTCCCGATAGAGGAGGAGGAGGGACACCGGGGAAATTTTGCTTCGTTGCCATTGGAGGTCCGGAAAATTGCGATTGACCCAACACTGAAGGTGCAGACATATCTTGTGGAGGTCGTCCAGGTACTGGACCACCAGGACCTCCAGGTAGTGGCGGTTGCATCGTGGAATTCATTAAATTCTGTCCTGGAATTTGGAATTATTCCTTTAGTTCATAAATTAAGGGAAAAAAGTTAATAAGTTAAAACTTAACTGTCATTTTTGAAAAAAACGAATTAAAAACAAAGTTTTTTGTTAATGTTTTGTTCTTTTTGAAAAAACGAATTAAAAACAAAATTTTTTTTTAAATGTTTTGTTCTTTTAGAAAAAAAACGAATTAAAAACAAAGTTTTTTGGTAATGTTTCGTTCTTTGTTCGAAAACAATAGTGAACTATGACTTATTATTATTATTATTATTGTCAATACACAAATGTGTCACTCTTACGAATTACTTTAATAAAAAAAACATACGGATAATTAACATAAAATCACGCCTTCTTGATAAAATAGTAAATATTTACCTACAGTAAATTCTGACATTATTTACTCAATATTCCATTCCAACGAAATAATTATGAACTAAGTTAACAATTAAAAAAATGTAAATACAATGCATTGTATGCATATATTTACATTATGTAAATTCTTTTCTCAATATATTTTTTTCGATATTTTAATTTAAAAAAACTCGAATTGATTTAAAAATCTTTTTTCACTTTTTAGAAATATCAATTAAGAATCAAAATAATATTATACAGACAAAAAAGTCCATATTCTGACAACAATAAAAAAAATAACCATAACCTATCACTTTTTTGTTATTAAAAAAAATGGTTCTATATTAGAATTAACAAAATAATTAAAAGTACCTATTAAAAATTGAATTAAATTTATCACAGTAAAAAAGTAAGACTCATCATTACTGAATATTTACTTTTTCCTCTTGAATTTAAAAATAGGAAAAAAGAAGAAGAAAAAAGTGTAAAGAATCTGAGTAAATAAAATATGTTAAATAATATATCAGTGACAGTAAGTTGATCATAACCTAAATAAAAAAGAGAGCAAGTATATTTATAAAACAGAAAGAATCAACAAACATAAGAATGACATTTCAACCAATCGACAAACATTGCTTAATATTTTATCCACAATCATACAAAATTAGATTAATGATTAAATGTCACATTTCAAGAAAAAATATATAAGTATGAGAAAAAAAAAAGCCATTTTTATACGTATGAAAAATGTGTGTCCTTAAAAATTGGCAATAACCAAGTGAAACATAACAATTGATAAGAAATTTACTACTCACGGTACATTGTCGACGATTCCCAAAGTACCATAACTAAATAAAAAACGTTTATTCACAAATAATTATTAATAATTTATAAATAAGAAATAAAATGATTTTTTAACTACACTGAAACAGTGACTGCAGCTGATGCCACGTAAGGCAGCACTGCGCATGCGCTCACTGCACGTTGACCAGACACGTCATAACAATAATTGGAACGATCATTTAAATAATGTTTTACAATATAAATCAAGCGATAAAGTGTAATTATCACCATTTAGAATTGTTGTTCGTATTATTTTCTACAATTCTACCTCATGTTTAGGGAATGAAACAATTGTCATTACTGCGGAAAATGCTATTTTAACAGAAGCAGAAGTGAAAGTGCACGTCACCCAATTGTTTCTGTCGGTAAAACAGATTTTTGCGGCAAAATTCAAATTAACTTAACATTATTTTATTAAATATTAATTATAAATTTATAAATACTAGCTAAGATTTTTTATATATAATTCCAAATTTTTTCATTAATAATATAATTTAATAAAAGTTTATAAATAAGTAATAATGTTTTTAATTTTATAACTTTATAAATATAAATAAACTTCGGTTAAAAATAAACTAAAATTGTTAATTATAATTAAAAATTTAACACCAAAAATGTAGGTACAATAATTAAAAGAAAAATTTAAATTATAATTAAAAATCCAGAAAACTTTCTTCCATTCATGGAATGTTTATTTTTTCTTCAGAATATCAATTACATATTGGGAAAAATAGGTTTTGATATTGGACGTTGAAAACTATTTTTCTTATTCGCTAAAAGTTTTTCTTATACGATTAAAAACAATGCACAATCATTCAGTTATTTAGACTATTTTGAGACAGTCGAGAAAATAACAATTTTCGTTAATTTATTTGTAAAAAAAAGTGCAAGAAAATGCGTTAAAAATGAAAAAAAAAAAAATTCAACAATATGTTATCGAATAAATAAAAATTCGTAAAACATAAAAATGCAATAATTTACTTAAGAATTTTTTTTTTTATGAATAATACAATTAGAAAATCGACTTATTTCTTTCATTGAATAACTGATGTCTGGCATCGTGGTACAAACAATAGATTTGCCAAAAATTGTCAAAATAAAATAATACCTAAGCATTTTTTTTTCATTAATAAAATATAATCATTTTTGTTTTTTATTTTAATTGAAATGTAATCAATTTTTTTTATTTTAATTAAAACATAATCAATTTTTTATATTTCAGTTAAAATATAATAAATTTTTTGTTATTAAAATATTTCATTAAACAAAATTGATTACATTTTATTCTTTCTGTTTTTCAGCGAAATGAAATAATTGTCAAAAGAACAAATTCGAATTTTTCATGACAAATTTGTTGGTTTTTTTTGTTGTTTTTAAACTAGAAAAAATTTTCGAGATCACAGGTAGAAATAATTTGCCACTCGTATTTTTTTACAAAAAAAAACTGATTTTTCAATTTTTTTTATAAATACGAAAAAAAAACGAGTAGCACAAAAATATCAATACATTTTTTTCCTACTTATTGAGATTCTAAGCTTAAATATTTGACGCAAACGATTATTACAAAATTCGCAGCACTTTGATCATTCTTCTCAATCTCTCAATCACAAAATAAAAAAATTCAAAATTTCGTCTTTTTTTTGTATAAATAAAAAACGAACAAGAAAAAATAACAACTAATTACAATGAAAATGAGAAAACAAAAACAGTAAAAATATACAATAAAAACAGTAAAAAACTGTTGATTTTGAAGAAGAAAAAAATAAAAATTGAAAATTGAAAACAATAAAATTGAATTGAGTAAAATTGAATTGAATAAATTTGAATTTAATGAAATTGAATTGAATGAATTTAAATTGATTTGAATGAAATTGAATTATAAAAAAAGCGTTGAACACATCAAAAAAAGTTCGTAGACATTCGGCAGTTATCGAAGCAATATTATAACAGACAAAAACAAAATTTTCGCACACGCACAGCATTTTGAACGCCCTTGAAAAAATTTGCAGGCAGTTTAAAATAGAATTCTCTTTATATTGGAACTTTTCAGTTCTTTTTTATCTTCTATTCGGCACGAAAAAAAAAACAAATCTCGTAGAATTGTTTTTTTAAAGAATTAAAGATATTACATATTTTCGCATAATTTTCATAGCTCAATTAGCAAATTTTATATTATCATTTTTTTCTCTCTCGAAGATAAATAAACTAATAAGTCGTTAATAAATTATTAAATAAACTTTTCTATACGCATATAAACTTTTTTTTTATAATTAATAAACAATTTGGGTGTAATTACTAGTAAAATTAAACTTCAGTTTTAGTAAACAAAACTTTAGTTTACTGAATAGAATTTAAATAATTTAGTAGAGTTAATAAAAATAGTTGCCAAGGAAAAAATTAATTGCAGTTCCATTAGTTACAGTAAATTAATTATAACAATGAAATTGATAAAATTAATTACCAATGAAATAATTTACTGTTTCGAATTAATTTAAACAAAAAATTAATTTACAATTTGCAATTAATTTAAACAATTAATTAATTTACAATTTGCAATTAATTTAAACAAAGAATTAATTCACAATTTGCAGTGAAATTAATTTTAACAATTAAATTATTTACTAAAAAATCAGATTTGATTAAAATTCAATTTTTTATATATTAATTATTAAGATAATAAAACAAACATAATATAATTATTATAATATAAATAATTAATAGATTGTTAAAATAGTTTTTCAATAGAGAAAACTAAAAATAAAACTTGTAATAAAATTTAACAAAAATTTGTGCAATAATATAAATAGATAGTTAACACTTAGTGCGTATAATTTGTTTTTTTTCGATATAAATACTTTTACATACAAAGACATCGAGATGCGAAATTTTCAATTCTCCATTAGAAATTCCTTTTTCTCAAATTGTATACAATATTTTGAAATTAATCCTCCAAATAAATTATTTCGTAAAAGATACATCTTTAAGGAAAATATAAAATTTTGGTTTCAATTTTAATTAAGTAAATAAATTTTATTCTCAATAAACAAAATTAATCAACAAAATAATCTAAAAAAAAAAATTAAAAAAAATCAATCAACAAAATAAAGAAAATCAATGAACAATATTATAATTTTCAATTTTCAAGAACATTTTTCCTCTTCTTGAGAACAATTATTTTCAAGACAAAAAAATTCTCGAATGGAGAAATGAAAATTTTTTTTCGAAACAAGACAATAAGCATTTAATCGATTAAGTACAGATTAGTGTAAATACAAAACGCCAAACTTAATTTTCGTAATAGTTATTTTAAAACAATACGTTACGTTATTAAAAATGTATTTTAATAAACAAATTTTATCAAAAATTTTTGAAAATAATTGAATTCCTTCAAGGAATTTTATCAAAATTTTTTAAATAATTGAATTGCATTAAAAAATTTAACATTGAAATTGAATTTTTGCAAAGAATATTATCAAAAATTTTTTAATTAATTGAAGTTTTTTAGAGAAATTTGAATGAAAATAATTTAATTCCTACGAAAAATTTCGAAGAGTTAAAAATTAAAATTTGAATTCTTACAAAAGTTTTTTCTTGTATTTCAAAAAAATAAATATTACGAAAATTAAGCAAATCTCATTTATCATTATTTCGTTGTAAAATCGTAAAGCTAATTATTAATCCTAATATTAAAAATGTATAATTAAAAATATACAGCACTGGTCTTAAGCCCAAAAAACAAAAAAAACAAAAAAAATTCGATATTAAAATCACAGAAAAATTTCTGCGAATCTAAAATATTTCTTCTCAGCAAAATTTGGTTAAAAAAAGAACCAAATTTTGTTCTGAAAAAATACAACTTCTTTCAGAAGAAAAAAGCTAATTGTGTATAATATATATATATAATTATAGTTATTTATATTTATATATTTATGTTTATCACAGAATGCAAAATCTAATCACACACAAGCGTTTGGTAAAATATCGATTGCATACTGCTCGTTAGCATTTTAGGCGATTATGAATAATAATAATTATTGTTAAATTACTCAATTTGTAAATTTTCACGTATTAAATATAATACTCGTTAAATATCAATTTGTTGTTTTTAAATATTAAACATTAATCGCTAAGTAGTATTTTGGCTGATATAATACACAAGACGGAATTCCCTTTGGACTTTTTAATTAATTAATTAATTCATATTAAAAATTCGTCTATTCAAATTTTTAATTTCTTTTGAATTAATTAATTTTTCTTTCACTCTCTAAAATTACAATTCCGTTTCTTTTTGAGATTGGTGCCTGCCAATCTTAAATTTTTCCATTTCTGGCAGGAATCCGGAGACGTAAACTTATTTTAAAAAAAAGCGATTTACTATTTTAAAATTTTTGAAAGCGAAAATTTTTATTTTTTTAAACTTTGAAAATAGATCGAAAAAACGAATTCTAATTTATATAATTTTTTTCTCTTGATAATTTTTATTCTTTATGGAGAAAAAAATATAATTTACTCTAAAAAACCTTGTTTGGCTTTTACGTGATTTAAAAAAAAAACCTATCCGGGTGCGTTTTCGACTGTTTTTTTCTTCAATCACAATCAATAAATATATAATTGAAACGACTAGGGAATCTTAAATAATTAATTTAAATATATAGATATAGATAATATAAAAAAATACAAAAAAAAGAACAAAGATAAAAAACTTTCGACTATATAACAAATATAAATAAATTTTTTTTTTTTGAGATGAAAAGTGATTATTAGAAATGTAAAAAAAAAGGTGATCAACACTTTAAAAAAAAGGAAAGAGAAACAATAGATTTTTTTAACAATAAAAAATTAAGTTCTAGGCGCTTTTGTTGGCCGACTCACTGTTTGGTTGCATTTGCATTGCTCATTAGTAATTGCGTTCGAATGAACGCGAGACGTGATGTGCGGCAAACAACAAAGAAGATTTGGACCTCGCAGACTTCCGGCAAATCCACTTCGGCCCAAAAAACTGTGAGCGCAATTGTAGAGGCGAGTTTGTAGAAGTAACACGTCGTCGAGATCCTCCTCACTGCAAATAAAATTATTTCTTCAGTTCTTTTCAAATTAATTAAAATCATTAAAATTATTAAAATCAGTAGTTAGTAATTAATAATTATTTTATTTTACCTTTTTATTCTTTCCCACTCTTTCTCAAAGAATAATAAAAATAATTCTTAGCTATTGAATTTATTAAACTATTTATTAAAATAAATATAAAAAAAAATTATATTTTACTGTAAAATGTAAAAATAAAAATGATAATTAGGTTCTTTAACGTTCGAGTGGTTAAACGAAGACATTCAGACAAAATAAAATATAAAAATAAAGAAAAGGAAGAATAAAATATAAACATAAAAATATAAAATATCAAAATAAAGAAAAGGAAAAATAAAATAGAAAATATAAAAATAAAGAAAAGGAAATATAAAATAGAAAATCGAAAAATAAAGAAAAGGAGAAATAAAACAGAAAAATAAAAAATAACTCCACACTTTTCAAATAGAAAAATAAAAAGTATTTTGTGAATTTTTTGGACTCACCTCGCTGCAGTGAGAAATTTTTGAAACAGTCTGTTTGGAACAGTTCTTGGCCGATCAACACTATCAGCGTAAAAATCAGTTTCTTTGTTGTATTGCTGCAAAAAATCCGATAACTGCTTCGCAGTTATGGCAGCTCGATCCTTATCACTCAATTTACTATTTGGCAACTGGTCAAAAAGAAAAAATTGAAAAAATAACTCCTTCGATTATACATTTTTAAAACAAAATAATTTTTCTTAAATTTAAAAATACATTCAATATTATTGCAAAAGTTTAAGAAAAATTTCTAAAATTATTGTAGTGTATTAGAATATTATTTTATTATAATAAAAAACAAATATTTTCAAATATATATATATATATAAAAAAGTAATTTAAGAAAAAAATAAAACAAATATTTTAAAAGATACGAAAAACGAATTTATAAAAAAAGAACAAAAAATTTGATACATTTAAAAATAAAACTAGAAAATAGAAAATGTACTCACAGTGAATAAGAATGGCGTTTTTAAATTACTAGAAGATTGTTGTAAAAATTTCGTAACAAGATCACAACAAACTGGATCCGCTTTTGGTTGAGATATTTTACGTAATATAAATCCTAAATAAAGTCCGAAGGCTTTTCTCGCCTCGCCGGGGCTGAAAAGAAAAAATTAAATATTTTTCATTATAATCCAACATTTCCTTGAAAAATATTTAACGCAAATTATATAAATAAAAATAGTAAATGATACGAGCGTGCGCTTTCATTAATTTATTATTATTAGGTAAATTTTAAGTTTTTCTTAATTTCAAATAAAAATTTCAATTCTGAAGTGATTTCAAATACAAAATTAAAAAAAAATTCAATTGATTGAATAATTATTATTATTTAATATTTTCTAAAATATTAATAAAATTCCTTAGAAAAATTCAATTATTTTTGAAAATTTTAATAAATTCAGGGTTCCTACAGAATCTGGAAATCATGGAAATGGTATGGGATTTTTCAAACGCTTCTGGAAATCAGGAAAATCATGGAAAAGACCTGGAATTTTTAAAAGTTTCTAAATTTTTTCTGTTTTCCATTTTTTCTCTTGAATAGAAATTCAATTAGAAATTTTAAGATATAATATATATTATACGACGTGGAAATTAAATTTAAAATTCCACTGGAATTTCCTAAAAATTTGACCTGGTATGGAATTTTAAATTCGGATTTCTGTAGGAACTCTGATTGTTGAATTTTAAGAAATTCGGATTTTTGAATTTTTGATAATTTTCGATAATTTTTGATTTTTTACCAAAAAGTCGAGACTATTAAATAAGTAAAGTATTTTGAAGAGCCCAAAAATATTAAAGCTAAATGCCATAATTATTTTTAAAAATTTTAATAAAATTCCTTGAAAAAATTCAATTTTCTCAAAAATTTTGATAAAATTCTTCGCAAGAATTCAATTACTTTCCATTTCAATTAAAATTCAATTATTTGCAGGAATTCAATTATTTTCAAAAATAATATAATTCTCTGTAGGAATTCAATTATTTTCAATGCAATTTTAATCAATTTTCTGGAACAAATTTAATTATTTTCAAAATGTTTAATTAATTCTAAGGAAAAATTAATTTTTTTTTCAGATTCGAAATTATAAAAGTGAAAAAAAAATTTGTATAACATTTTTCAAACAAAAATATCTTTTAAAATTAAAAAAAATCAACGTATTAACAAACGCAAAATTATGAAAAATAATATGATTTCTAAATCTTTCTTATCGAAAATATTTTCTACAAAAATTTATTCTCTGTCTAAGTAAATAATAAATCCAAATCACTTTAAATACGAACCTTAATTTATTGCCGTCTTCCATTAATTGAATTACTTGAGCTTTATATTTTTGGCCATCGATATCAATGTTTTCCTTACTATCATTACGATCCAAACTTTGCTTGTGACCCTTGAGAAGTGCTCTCTCGTATCTTTCGTACCTGCACAAAATTTCTCAATTATTTCCAATTGTATTTCTTTTCTAATATATAGTATTAAAAATTATATTCCCTTTTAAATTGGATCGCAAAAAAAAAAAAATAAATAAAATCATAAAAAATATAAAAGGAGTAGAAAATTTTCTGTAATTTTTCATGCGAGGGAAAAAGGAAGAATAGATATTTTCAGATTCGATGAAAGCAAAGCCAACGCGAGTGTCAAGTGGACAATGAATATTTATATTTTACAATTCATTCACCTGGAAAGTCTGTCCAGCTTGACTTCCTGAATTATGAAACCAATACGACTAGCCGCTGGAAATAGTTGCTCGTGCAACATCAGATTGTGATTTGTGTTAATGTGTTGCGGCACTCTTCCTGGACCCAGGGGATCCGTCACCACAGGAATTCCCGTCACTGGATCTGTAAACATTTCATTATTTCATTTTCAACGACAATTTCTCCAAAATTCTTTATTTTTCCCTTTCTTTCTATTTTATTATTTTCATTTACTTAAGTACTGATTTATTTTTATTCGTATTTATTATTTTTTATTTACTCATTTAATCTCAAATTGTCTAAAAAAAATTCGTCAACAATTGTTAATAAATTGTTTAATGATAATAATATCATTAAACAATTTATTAACGATTGTTGTCGAATTTTTTTTATAGAAGAAAATAAAATGATAATAAGAATAAAATGATAATAAAAAATAAAAAAAGATAAAATAAAATAATAAAAGTAAAATAGAAATAAAATAATAAAAATTAAAATAAACTGATAATGAACGTAAAAAAAATAAAATGATAATAAAAATAAAATTAGAAAAAAAAAACAAATGAAGACAAAACAATTTTTTTCGAATTTCAAGATTAAGGCAAAAAAAAATTGTAAAATCGTCGATAAATAAAATTGTAAAATAATTTCTTTTTGAAGAAAAAAATACCTAGATACTGAGAGTACATTTCCCAGGACTTTGGACTGGGAAAAATTCGTACGAAACCTCCTCTACGTTCAAATTGTGCTTTCGCCGAGGCGACAATTCGTTGTTGTTCCGAAGAAAGGCCAGTTTTGTTCAATGCATTCTTTGAGGTAGTTTTCTTCTTTTGAGCCAAAGTTTCAGCCGAGTGAACTCTTCGATACTAGAGAGAGAGAGAGAGAGAGAGAGAATAAACAATAAAAATTTAAATTTCTGAAAGTTAATTTTTCAAAGTAGAAAATTAAAAAAAATTCTTTCTTTTTCTAGATTAAAATTGATAGTTTTTTTGGAAAGAGACTTACACTAGTTATTTTTTTAGTGGGATTGGCAAATTTATTTTGACTCGTGGCTTGAGGTCTTAGGATGGGATCGACAGCGGGAATGCCGACGAGGGTAAGCAGATCTGCGATTAAAGCAGATTTCAATCTCACGTCCAATGGCGAGTCACAGCCCAAAGACGGAGTCAAATTCACTTCCAGTAGCCATGGTTTCAGACAATCATCGATCAGAATGTCAAATCCAAATAATTCTACAAAAATACAATTCAGAAACGCTTTCTTTCATTTAGAGGCAAATTTCTCTTTTACCACAATTTTCAATTTTTTTTTAAAGCAATAAACAAAAAATAAGACAATTTTTCCCCACAAAGTTTTCAATTTATTTTTTTAAAGCAAGAAAAAATTAAAAATTGGTTAAAGACAATTTTCAAAATATTTTTTAAAATCAAGAAACAAAAAATAAAAATTATTTAGAGGGAATATCTTTTCCCCTCACAGTTTTCAATATATTTTTCAAAAGCAATGAATAAAAATTAGAATGATTTTAAGGAAACTTAGAAATTAGAATTTTAGAATTAGAAATTAGAATTTCTAAATCATTTAGAAATAATTTTTATTTAGAAACTTTATTTCAAAAATAAATTACTTATCAAAAGAAATATTTGAAAACTGAATATTTTTCTCTAAAAAGGCAAAAATGCTTTTTTTCAAAAGAAATAAAACCAAAAAAAAGAGTTGAATTCGTGACTGAAAAAAGTATTTTTTTTTCCCCCGAGAATCGCAAAAAAGGAAAATTGCAAAGCGGCAAAAATTTTGTTTTTGATATCAAAAAGAGGGAAAATTACCGAAACAAGTGTCAGGATGTTTAACGAACTGTTTCATTCCACTAACGATACCAGAAGCAGTGGCGAGAATTGACTTTATTATAACATCTTCTATTCGTTGCATCAGCAATTCCGTATCTTGGCCAATGGATCGCAAGTGTCTAAGTAGAGCTGACAATGTCCACTTGTGTCCCACATCTTCCGCATCTGGATCGTCATTTCTGAAAATTATTTTCCTCAAATTAAACTAAATTCACAAATTTAAATTTCTTTTTTCTCTTTCAAGTAAAATTCTACAACAAAAATTACTATTAAAATTATTTTTTTCATAAATTTTACTTTTTCAACAAAAGTTTTAATAAAAATTATAAAAAATGTAAAAAAAATCAAAGTAAATTAAATCCAATTTAATTTAATCGTTAATCGAAAATAAAAACGTAGACAAAATAAATAAAAATACAGTTTCTCTCTGAAAATACTTAAATTAAATAAAAACAGAAATTAAAAGCAAAAATAAATAAAAATTAAAAAATTAGCGAAAATCAACTTGAGAAAAATTGGCAAATAAATATATAAATTCTAATAAATATTGGAGAACGTATATTTTCAGCAGAGAAAAAAATTTGAGTGGAAAAATTTCGTAACGACACCTACTTGACATAGTCGACGTGAAATTTATTGATGCTGTAATTGCAGAGATGCATACACGGATTCCAAATGTACTGATTGCCGCCGTCGTATTTGACAGTGGCAAATCTTACTAATCCCTCCTCGTAGAGATAAATTAAAAGTGGATCGTAGTTCGTCACGGCAACATACAATCTTAAATCACATTTGTGTCCGTCCACCAAAAGTGGATTATTTATGTATTGCGCGACAATCACAGATTCGTCGGTTAAAATCTTCTCCGGCTGAAACAAAAGGAAAAGAAAATTAATTTTTCCAAATAATAAATTATATATATGAAATTTTCTTTTGGGAGAAATAAAATAAAAAATTTTAAATAGAAAATGGAAAAAGGAAAATTTATTTAGTAAATATTAATTTTTACTAAGTAAATAAAAGAAAATGGAAAAAAGGAAAATAAAAAATAGAGAATAGAATAAAAAATAGAGAATATAGAAAATAGAAAATAAAAAATAGAAAAACGAAAATAAAAAGTAGAAAAACGATAATAAAAAATAAAGAATAGAAGATAAAAAATAGAAAAAGGAAAATAAAAAGTGGAAAATAGGAAAACAAAAATAAAAAATAGAGAATAGAAAATAAAAAAATAGAAAAACATTAATAAAAAATAGAGAACAGAAAATAAAAAATAGAAAAACAAAATAAAAAGTAGAAAATAGAAAAATAAAAATAAAAAATACAGAATAGAAAATAAAAAAATAGAAAAACGAAAATAAAAATTGAAAATAAAAAATAGAAAAAAGGAAATAAAAATTGGAAATAGAAAATAAAGAATAGAGAAAATAAAATAAAAAATAGCAAAACGAAAATAAGGTAGAAAATAGAAAAATAAAAAATAGAGAATAGAAAATAAAAAAATAGAGAAACGAAAATAAAAAATAGAAAAATGAAATGAAAAGTAGAAAATAGAAAAACAAAACTAAAAAATAGAGAATAAAAAATAGAAAAAAGGAAATAAAAATTGAAAATAGAAAATAGAAAGAGGAAAATAAAAAATTGAAAAACGAAAATAAAAAGTAGAAAATAGGAAAACAAAAATAAAAAATAGAGAATAGAAAATAATAAACTAGAAAAACGAAAATAAGAAAAAGAATAGAAAATAGGAAATAAAAAACGAAAATAAAAAGTAGAAAGTAATAAAAGCAAATTAAAAATAAAAATAAAAAAATAAGGAAATAGAAAGAAACGAAAAGATGAATAAAATAAAAATAAAGAAATAAAAAATATATAACAAATTGATCAGCAAATTTATTAATCAACAATTGAATTAGCCAAGACAAATTAAGTAATTTCAGAACCATTCAAAGGACGAAATAATTAACCAACTGTAATTAACAGAATGACTAATACCGTCCATCGAGATAATGCCACGATCGGCTAATTATGTAAATAATCAGCTAATTAAGTAATTTTTATTTTCCTTTCGATCAATTTTAAAATTATTAAAAATCTAAAAATTCAATATAAATACTGCACTGAAAAGTGAATTATAATAAAAAAAATCACTGAAATTATCGTAATTTTCAGATTTAAAAAACACACATTTGTAAAATTGTTTTAATTTTTCTAATTAGCGAACCACTTGTTTCATATTAATTAGAATTGAAGTAACTAATACACAAAAAAAAGAAGTGAGTTAGGGAAAGTTTTATAAACATATATAAAAGGAAATAAGTCAGTGAAAGGAGAATCAGAATTTTTATCAGATTATAAAATAAAGGCATAATTTTTTCACAGCGACAACTTTCACATAATTTTCCATTTTTTATTTTCTTTTTTAGTGAATTTTATTTTTTCCTTTATTATCAAACATTATACTTGTTAAGAGACAATATTTTATTTTAGATTCAATTTTACGGGTTTAAAAAGAATAAGAATGGATTCGTTCATTAATTAAAAAGAAACTTGGGAAAAAATTAAATTCAAAATTTTTGCAAAACTCAATTATTTTACGAATTTTTAGTTCGAATTCTATTAAAAATACTTAAATATAATATTTTCAATTTTTCTTTTTCAAATTAATATTTTCTGTCTGGAATTCAATTATTTTCAAAAATATATAAAATTCTTCGTAAAGAATTCAATTATTGTCAAGAATAATAAAATTCTTCGTAAGAAATTCAATTATTTAAAGAAAAATTGGTAAAATTCTACGCAAGAATTCAATTATTATTTTCGAAAATAACAAAATTCTTCGTAGGAATTCAATTATTTTTAAAAAATAATTAAATTCGTCGCGTGAATTCAATTATTTAAAGGAAAATTTATTGAATTATTTTCATTAATAATATTTTTTATTATTTTCATTCAAATTTCAAGAAGAAATTTATTTTAATCCAATTATTTTCAAAAATGATGAAATTCGTCGCTAGAATTCAATTATTTAAAGAAAAATTTAATATAAAGATTCAAATATTTTTAAAAATAATAAAATTCTTCGCTGGAATTCAATTATTTTCGAAAATAATATTTTTCAATTATTTTCAATAAAACATCTCAAAAAATTCAATTACTTTTAAAAATTTTGATAAAATTTTTTGCAAAATTCAATTATTCTTAAAAATGATAAAATTTTTTGATGAAATTCAATTATTTTCATAAATAATAAAATGTTTAGCAAGAATTCAATTATTTTTTTTTTAATAATAAAATTCTTCGCTGAAATTCAATTATTTAAAAAACAATTCTAAAATTCTTTGCAAGAATTCAATTATTTTCGAAAATAATAAAATTCTTCGCAGTAATTCAATTATTTTCATTCGAATTCATTCGAAAATAATATTTTTCAATTATTTTCATTCAAACTTCTCAAAAAAAGTAATTAGTTTCAAAAATTTTTTATAAAATTCTTTGCAAGATTCAATTATTTTTAAAAATAATAAAATTCTTCGCTAGAATTTAATTATTTAAAAAAATTATAATCTTCTTTGCAAGAATTCAATTATTTTCGAAAATAATAAAATTCTTCGCAGTAATTCAATTATTTTCATTCGAATTCATTCGAAAATAATATTTTTCAATTATTTTTATTCAAACTTCCCAAAAAAAAATTAATTAGTTTCAAAAATTTTGTTAAAATTCTTTGCAAGATTCAATTATTTAAAAAAAATTTTTAATTTTCTTCACTGAAATTCAATTATTTAAAAAAAATTATTGAATTCTTCACTGAAATTCAATTATTTACAATACAATTTTAATTTAATTCTCAATGAAATTCCCCGAAAGAATTTAATTGTTTTCAAAAATTGTAATAGAATTTTCCAAAACAATTCAATTATTGTTTTAAAAAATTTTAATTAAATTCTATGTAAAAATTACATTATTTCAGATTCAAAATTATAAAAATTACAAAAAAATTACATTTCTATTAACAAAAATTGAATTACCTGATAAAAATATTAGTCAAGTGGAAAAATACGAATAGAAGTAGAAAACAAATTCAATTGAAATTAAATTTTCGACATAAAAGAAGTAAAGTTTTCTTTAAAGTCTTTTTTTGAAATTTTTTTTTTTTAAATCTGAAACTTACACTATTGACGATGTAAATTCCACGACCTCTGGAACTTGCTTTTGGTTTTACAATCCATGGACCTCGATACCTAAAGTGTGCTGTTAGAAGTTCTTTCGATTCACTGGGAAGAAGAAATGTTTGCGGTATAAAATCCAGATTACGAACTCCTTTGCTTCTTTGCATCGCTTCAATATTCTTATAGAGACGATCCTTTCTCGTTATTTCGTAGGATCTGCAAAAAAAAAAAAAAAATTAAATTACGGGTCAAAGAATTTTCTCTCAACATTAAACAATTTCTATTCATTCCTTTTTCTTTATTTGTTAAAAAAGAAAATTTTTTTTAAAATCGAGGAAAAGAAAATTCGCCAAAAATTATTTTTTGTTACTCACCTGGGAAAATGATTCACTTTTTGATAAGGAGTCAAATTACGAAGGACATCAGGTTTCGGATGATTTCCAATCCAGAGAAGATTGAAATCATTTTCATTTATCGATACCTGAAAACAAAAAATACAACAATTTTTTTAGATAAAAATAATTATTAATAATTAATAATAATAATAATTAATAAAAGTAATAACTCTTCTATAATATAACTATCAAGAGAAAAAAAGCGTCAAAGAAAATGATTTTAATAATAATTTTAAAAATATTAATTTTTTTCAAATTATATTTTTCAAAAAAAAAAAAAATAAAACAAAAAAAAAATTTAATTTTGTGATTCTTTCAAGAGGGTGGATGGTAAAAAATAATTTTCCAAAATTTATTCAAATGAATGACTGAAAAAAAAAATTCTTTTGAAATTCTTATTGAAAAGAGGATGAAAGTGCATCAATGAGAGACATTCTTGAGTAATTAGCAGTCTTCGCGCATAGATGTACCTTCAAAAGCGCAAATACAAGGTCAAGTGTGTGTGTGAGGTTTAACGATATTTTTTTACGCACTTGGCACTGCAAGGCGAAATTAATAGAAGGTTTTGAAAAATTTTAACTCCGGAATATCCGTTTCGCTCTTGAAGTGTCAATTGTATCAAACGCCAATTTCAAGGTTCAAGGAACCGAGACTTTACTTTCATTATAAAACACAATCTTACTACTACCTTTCGATGACTAATATTTAGCAATTTTTTTTCCATTAATAATTTTTTTATATCCCAAAGATATAATTAAAATTAATTAAAGAATTATTACTACCAGTATTATATATTTCAAAAATTTCAACGCAATTTTTTTGAAAGAATTCAATTATTATCTTATTGATAAATATCAAAATTGTTTCTAGAAATTCAATTATTTTCAGGAATTTCAATTTCTGTTTTCTTAAATTTAATTTCTTTGCTAAATTCAATTATTTTCGAAAATCGTAAAATTTTTATCTAAAATTCAATTATTTTTGTAAATCGTAAAATTTTTAACTAAAATTCAATTATTTAAAAAATTTTAATAAAGTTCTTGTAAAAATTTCAATTACTTTCAAAAGCTTTTTGAATTTCAATTATTTTCAAAAGCTTTTTGAAATTCAATTATTTTCAAATCCTTTTCCATTTTCATAAAATTTACCAAAAGAATTCAATTATTTGAAAAAAAATGGTTAATAAATTGTAAACAAATATTAAATAATAATTAAATAATTTAAAATTTTTTTTGTAAATAAATAAATATTCAATTCTTTTCATAAATAATAAACAATTCACAAGAATTCAATTACTTAAAATAGAATTCAAATAAAATTTTTCGAAAAAATTTATTATTTACAAAATTTTTTCAAATTATTCGCACGAATTCAATTATTTTCACAAATTTAAAAAAATATCTTCGACAAACAATGCAATAATTTCAAAATATTTTATAAAATTCATTAAAAGAATTCTAATATTTTTGAAAATTTCATAAACAATACAATTTTCAACAGGAATTCAAGAATTAAAAATAATTTAAATAAATTTCTTTGCCAAGATTTCAATTATTTTCATAAATAATAAAATTCTTCTCAAGAATTCAATTATTTTTGAAAATTGTAATAAAATTTATTTTAAAAATTCAATTATTTTGACAATTTATCAAATTTTTCAATAAAATTCAATTATTTAGAAAAATTTTATTAAATTTTTTCTCTGGGATTCAATTATTTTCATAAATATTATACAATTTCAATGTAATTCAATTATTTAAAAAAATTTACGAAACGTCTTCTAAAAAATTCAATTATTTTCATAAACAATGAAATTCTTCTGAAGCATTCAATTATTTTTAAACATTTTAATAAAATTTCTTAAAATAATTCAATTATTTAAAAAATTGTAATAAAAATCATCGCAAGAAATCAATTATTTAAATAATTTTTATTAAATTTCTTCTTTGAAATTCAATTATTTTTATAAATATTAAAGAATTTCACAATATATAATTCAATTATTTAAAAAAAATGTTTCAAAACTTTTTCTAAAAAATTCAATTATTTTTAAACATTTTAATAAAATACCTTAAAATAATTTAATTATTTAAAAAATTTTTTATAAAAATCATCACAAGAATTCAATTACCTAATTCGAAAAATTTTGATAAAATTCTTTCTAAAAATTCAATTTATTATTTTCGAAAATAATAAAATTATTTGCAGAAATTCAATTATTCTCAAAAATAATAAAATTCTTCGTAGAAATTCAATTATTTTCATTGCAATTTTAATAAATTTTCTAGAAAGAATTCAATTATTTTTTTTTAATTTCAATAAAATTCTAACTTAAAAATTCAATTAATTTTATAAATAATAAAATTCCTCATATAAATTGAATTATTTTCTGTACAATTTTAATATAATTCTTGAGATAAATTCAATTATTTTAAAAACAATTTAATTATTTCTTGATAGAATTCAATTATTTAAAAAACATTTAATAAAATTTTTTGAAAAAAAATTTAGTTTTTTTCAAAGAGTAAAATTCCTTGAAAGAATTCAATTATTTTCAAAAAAAAACAATGCTAATAATAAAAAATTATTGGGACGTTTTTAATTAAAATTTGTAAAAAGAAATTTTAATTAATATTATCATTTACATAAAATATTTGCATTGTAAACGATTGTAATTAAAATTTTTTTTTTAACTGATTGTCAGTTTTTGTATAAAATTTTTAATTTTTGTGAGAAAATATTTTTTTTTCTTTTCATTCAAACAAAAAAAAAATTTTTTTTTTTTTTTTATTAAAGACTATAAAATAGTAGTGAATGTAATTTTGTAATTGACTTTTCTCATCGTTTCTTTCGAAGATTGTGCACTAATCATCCAAGAAGAGATTAGTACAAGACTCTTGTTTGCGAGTCCTTGAATTTACATGCCCGAGTTTTCCCTCAAGGCACATTTTCGAGTCCCCGAGGAAATAAGAATAGGTACGCATAGTTTAGTTGGATGTATATAATATTAGAGAAACTCATTCGCAATTTTTTTTTCCTTTTTTCACTTTTTCCGCACTCTTACCACACATTTTTTCCTTTAATATTATTTTTCATATATAGAATATAACTGAAGAAATTACATTAAATTTCCCACAAGAAAATTGAATCAATTTTCAAGTAAATAAATAAAATTTCATTTTTTTCCTTCCGTATACTTTTATGGGGTAATTTTTTTCTAATTTGGAGCAAAATATCTAATAAATAAAAAATTAATATTGAGTAATAAAAATACTGAATGAAATAAAATAATAAAAAGAATAACAAAAATAACAATATTATTAAATTACAAAAAAAATTGTAGGGGTAATTTTTTGTATTTGAAAATAAAAAAAGAAAAAAGGAGAGAAGAAGGTGTCAAAGTTATTGAAAGCAGGAAGTTTTCAGCACTAAAATTTAGTTCAGGGTTAAAATTACAAATATTTATAATTTACTTCTTCGAAAAAAAATATTCTTTGAGAATAAAAAAAAGTTTAATCTATTTTTTCGATTTATTAATTTTAAGCGAAAAAAATACTCTTTTGTTATTTAAAGAATCAATTGAAAAGACCGAATGAAATTACCATAAAGCAAAAAGGTCGATTTTGATTGGTGTCAATTTTTGCGGTCTAGATCGTTTCTTATCACGTGAACGATCTCTGCTCCAATTCAAGTATTCTCAATAGTACACATAATATAATAAAATGCCTTTAATTCACAATCAGACATCATTTTTCTAGTAGGGAGGAAAAAAATCTTTTTTCTTTTTTGCCACCCATCATTGAACTTTGAAGAAGAATTGTTCATTGAAAATTTATTGTTATTCGAATAAAATTATTCTACTGCCTTCACAATATAAAGGAATAAAATTTTTTAATTTTAGAAAAATACTCTTTTCTATTCTGTTCTATTCCATTTTTTTTATTCTGTTTTATTTTTTTTATTCTGTTCTATTTTATTTTTTTTATTCTGTTCTATTCTTTTTTTTATTCTGTTTTATTTAATTTTTTTTATTCTGTTCTACTTTTTATTTTTTTTTTATTCTGTTCCACTTTTTATTTTTTTTTATTCTGTTCTATTCTATTTTTTTTATTCTAAAGTTTCTAAAAAAAATAAAAAATAGAAAAGTAGAATAGAATAGAAGAAAATACAATGGAATAGAACAGAATACAATAGAATAGGACAGAAAAGAATAAAAATAAATAGAACAAAATAGAACAGAATAAAAAAAGAATAGAATACAATAAAAAAATTGAATAGAATAGAATAGAACAGAATTGAAAAAATAGAATAGGACAGAATAGAAAAGAATAAAAAATAGAATAGAATAGAATAGAAAAAGAATAGAATACAATAAAAAAAATAGAATAGAATAGAACAGAATAGAAAAAGAATAGAATATAATAAAAAAAAATTCAATACAATACAATACAATAAAACAGAATTGAAAAAATAGAATAGAATAGAACAAAAAAATAGAATAAAATGCAATAGAACAGAACAGAATAGAATAAAAAAAATAAAATGAAATAGAAAAGAATAAAATACAATAGAACAGAACAGAATAGAATAAAAAAAATAAAATGAAATAGAAAAGAATAAAATACAATAGAACAGAACAGAATAGAATAAAAAAAAATAAAATGAAACAGAACAAAATAGAAAAGAATAGATCAGCAATTAAATTCCCCCGTTGATAATTGCCTATTACAATTATGTCGTTTATTCACTTTCACGATAATGTTTCCTAATTACCATCAGAAATCAAACGAGATCAGTAATTTTTTTTTTTTTCATTACGCTTCAGGTAATTTAGAATTATTTATACCGTTTTAATAGCAAGGCCTCAGCGAAGACTGAATTCCATTCTGCACACACTTTATTATTTTTTCTAACCTCCACGAAACAAAATTGTATATAAATCCTATCAATGTATTTATTTGTTACACTTTCCGAAGGTCGACCCTCGCTTTTTTTCATTTTTAATAACTTATCCACTTAATAATAATGAAAATAATAATAATAATAATAAAAATAACACCATTTATCGTGAAAACAAAAAATAACA